AAAGATCATACGGTCAAGTGGTCACAATAATATGGTCTCAAGGTAAAGTGGTCAAAGATCCCTAGGTAAATTGCCCAAAGGTCCCAAGGTAAAGTGGTCAAAGGTCCCAAGGTAAAGTTGTCAAAGGTCACAAGGTAAAGTAGTCAAAGGTCCCAAGGTTAAGTGGTCAAAGGTTCCAAGATAAAGTGGTCAAAGGTCCCAAGGTAAAGTGGTCAAAGGTCCCAAGATAAAGAGGTCAAAGGTCCCAAGGTAAAGTGGTCAAAGATCACAAGGTAAAGTTGCCAAAGGTTCCAAGATAAAGTGGTCAAAGGTCCCAAGGTAAAGTGGTCAAAGATCCCAAGTTAAAGTGGTCAAAGGTCCCAAGGTAAAGTGGCTAAAGGCCCTAAGGTAAAGTGGCCAAAGGTCCCAAGGTAAAGTAGTGAAAGGTCCCAAGGTAAAATAGTCGAAAATCACACGGTCAACTGGTCAAAGTTCCCAAGGTAAAGTGGTCAATGATTCCAAGTAAAAATGGTCAAAGATCACAAGGTAAAGTGGTCAAAGTTCCCAAGGAAACGTGGTCAAATTTTCCAAGGAAAAATGGTCAAAGATCACAAGCTAAAGTGGTCAAAGATCACAAGGTAAAGTGGTCAAAGGTCACAAGGTAAAGTGGTCAGAGACAGCAAGGTAAAGTGGTCATTGAAGATTCCAAGTAAAGTGGTCAAAGGTCCCATGGCAGGTAAAGTGGTGAATCAAGTTTGGTTATTACCAACCATATTAGAATTCAATAGTGCCCTCTTCCGATATTTAAGTGGTATTTCTAGCGACATTATAGATCTAATTAAATCTAACAATGTTGTTAAATGTTAAGTGTTAATAAACGCATACTGGTTTATATATTATCACATAATAATAATAAAACGCAATACAGCAAGCTAAATAATATACAAGCAGAATCAAAATCCCCGTCCTATTATGGGCACCATAATGGACTAAATAAATCAGTGAACGCTATTCAGATTGCAATCAAAATATTGCCAGGGTAAGGGGCGTCATAATTCCCCTTATATTATATTATTATAATTATGTAATAATATAATTTATGTTATGCTACCGGTTTAACGTCTGTTTGTTGTAGACTACGCTGTATTATCAGAGAGTAGAAATAGACTATACTCTCTGTATTATTGAACTCTAGTCCCAGTTAACGTTTTTATATAGCGTCTTGTTGTCTCGAATTTATCTTCAAACTAAAAATCACAAACAAAATATTCCGATCTTTATAATTCTCCGAGAATTGGATTTTCCACTTTTTTTCCAATGTATTTTCCTACTTTCGTTTTCTATTTTAGTCACATGATGTAATGAATACAGTAAATTGCTGCGCATGGCAAGTGACATTAGGCTCTTTTAAAAGGAAAATAAATTAACTTTAAATCCTACTAATAACATTATAATCAAGGTAAAACGGGTGGGGTGGGGGGCACATGTAAACTCCAGACCCTGCGAGGGCGAACTATTTTAGAAAATAGTGGGTGAATTTTGACACCCCTACCCTGACAATTTTGATTCGCAGGGACCCTTCCTGTAGTCCCCCATCTACCATTGCACGCTACATGGTGTTCTGTGTCTCATTAGTCTCAAAAGGTGCATAAAAGTAGGACGTTCAAACCTAATTCATATCGTTCAAAGCGTTAAATTATACTAGGTACGCTTTATTCACTGTAATGCACAAGATGGCAAATTATAATGAGTAATGAGCTGGCTTGAAAATCTGAGATGCCTCCCCCTCACTCCCCCTCACTCCCCCAAATCCCGACCCTAAGCTTCAAATATGTAAGGCTATAACCCATAGCTAAACATCTTACCTTTGTCTCGATGTCACTAGGCCCCTAAAGTAAAGTGGGGCAAGTTATATTGCGCATAAAATCTAATGAACACGACAAGTTCAAGTGAAGAAATCTATTTTCTCCGAGATCTGATTTAGATCTACTTCCTTATTTGATCTTTAACTTTCATTTTCGATTTCCCCCACAGATCGCAAAAAAAAAAACCCAAATAAAACCAAACAAATTGATCGAGGGTCATAATGCTGAGGGGAGTTGGACGATACCAGTCCGAATGTCGAAAGCGTTGGCCATGACATTTAAAATTGTTCTTACCATAGGCCTGCTAAACGAATGTATAAACTTTATGTGTGTTGTAGTAAACTACGTTGCTCAAGTGTTCAAAGGGGTGGAGAAATGAGTCAGGGCTACCTCATACGTCAGTACGTCAATGAGTTCGCCACTCCGTCAATGAGTTCGTCACTACGTCAGTGAATTGGAAACAATAGAACATAGACCAATGGCACATATCTGATACACTCAGTGGCGAGGCCAAAAGGGTAGCCGCGCACCTCCCCCGCCCCCTCGCAGCCCCTCTCGCAGCCCGAATGCACGTTTTTCGGGCATGACTCTCAATACTAAGAAATTCGGCAAACCTCATATATCCCGATGATTGCTGAACGAGAACATGACTGAATACAATGATTGGTCTAACTTATCTACATCATTATTCAATTTCAACGCAGGTGTCGCATTGTGGAGAGCGCGATAACTGATAAAGTTATGTTAAATCACAGAGATTATATACCTGGATGACTAAAGCCTTTACCGAATTCGTTATGCATAATATATTTGTATATTAATTGAAAATAGTCAGTAGATATTGGTTGGTTACATGCCCTTGACGAATCACTAACAATCGGCTTTAAAGGGGTTGTAAATAGGTTTTCTAACCTATGATCATCATCATCGTACCGTTGCTTAAGGAACATGCAGTTATCATCGCACCGTTACTAAAGAAGATGGCTTCTATTTGCATCATTCAAATTTCCAAATTAGATATCTGTGCTTCCTGTAATATTAGAAATTCTAACCGTATATGACGTCAATATCGCAAAATTATTAGCAACATTGCGATGTAATTAAAGGTTTCGTTTGAATGAAACTGCAAATCCATGCTAACAGTGTTCCGATACTCATAAATAGATAAGACAGCCTCTTTACAATCCTTAAGGCTACTTGGTTGTATGGATTCGTCGTCATTTACGGCGATTCTGTTAAGTTAAGACACAAGGTAAGTCTACTGATGAATATATACTCTTATTGGCCAAGTTTGAGTATTTAAATTTCACGTTCATTTTAAGAATGAATACCTTTCTTAAACTGGAAACAAAACAAACTGTGTATTTACATGAAATTTTATTAACAAAGAAAAATGATGATGACGTCATGACGAGTATATGTTAACAGTCGACCATGCCTTCATGATTACAAACTTTCAATTCGTGGTCATATTTCGTACCAGTCGGACATTTCATACGGAGAGATTTAAACCCTCCCCATTTATCACTGACACAGAGTTTAAAGCTTGTACAAGAGTCTTCATCTTGATAAATACCTAGTTCATCACACTCCTCCATCAATATACCCTCCGTACCTGGAATTTAATATAGATCTCTACAACTATTTGATTATGACATGACCGTAGCCACACTGGACTGGATTGTGCGCCGGGTTTAGTTTAGTAGCGATGATATGTAGCACTTTTGACAGGAATGCCCCCTATTACGTTTGATGCTTACTTCTATGATACTGGGTTAACCTATGTCTATGATACTGGGTGGACCTATCACTATAATACTGGGTGAACCTATCACTATAATACTGGGTGAACCTATCACTATAATACTGGGTAGACCTATCTCTATGATACTGGGTGGACCTATCTCTATGATACTGGGTGGACCTATCACTATGATACTGGGTAGACCTATCTCTATGATACTGGGTGGACCTATCTCCATGATACTGGGTAGACCTATCTCTATGATACTGGGTGAACTCATCTCTATGATACTGGGTTAACCTATGTCTATGATACTGGGTGAACCTATCTCTATGATACTGGGTAGACATATCTCTTTAATACTGGGTCGACCTATCTCTATGATACTGGGTGGACCTATCTCTATGATACTGGGTAGACCTATCTCTATGATACTGGGTAGATCTATCTCTACGATACGGGGTGGACCTATCTCTATGATACGGGGTGGACCTATCTCTATGATACTGGGTCGACCTATCTCTATGATACTGGGTAGACATCTCTATGATACTGGGTAGACCTATCTCTATGATACGGGGTGGACCTATCGCTATGATACGGGGTGGACCTATCTCTATGATACGGGTTGGAACTATCTCTATGATACTGGGTAGACCTATCTCTATGATACTGGGTCGACCGATCTTTATGATACTGGGTAGACCTATCTCTATGATACGGGGTGGACCTATCTCTATGATACGGGGTGGATTTATCTCTATGATACTGGGTAGACCTATCTCCGATACTAGGTTGACTAACCTCTTTAACTTTAGGTTGATTACTAACTCTTCCAAGTGGCGTTTCTACAGAGAGCCCCCCCCCCCCCCCCTCATAGTGAAAGGAATGGCCTGTGTCCCATGACACCCCAACCTCTCTCCCTCCCTCCCTGGAAAATTTTGTGGCCCCTGTTCGGCGCTCTAGCAACGTCACTGACTTTTCCAGTATGGAAAGGGAAATATTTTGAAGGAACTAAATGTGATACATTGCAGTCCTTTCGTCGTACCCATTAGGTCTTTAGGGATTTACGACACCGCCTAAACCAATATACAGAATGGTATTCCAGTATTTGAAAGTAGATTAAGAATAAAGTTTAACGATAAAGGACAAGCTTTTGCCCAATCTGATAAAATATGATTTATTTAATTTCATTATTTACAACCATCGACTACCTACAACAATCTGAAGATGTCCTCGATCATGTCAGTTTAATGGTTAACAATTTTACAGTTCAGTCTGTTTCTGAACGCCTACAATTTGCTCATTATGTTCAATACTTTTCATGATTTCAAAATCGCAAGTTATATTCTCACCAGCCTTACAAACATAAACTTATTTAGTAGACAAACAAACTTCATCAACAGCGAATAAAACGCAGAATGTTTCGTTTCGTTCTTTCTTACGATGACGTCACATATTCGTACAAATTCACCGGTTGAAATAAAAACAGAAACGAGATAAAAAAAAAAAAAAAAAGTCTGTATTTTCATCAATCTGTACTTGAAATACAAGCAGAAAAGTCTACGAACGTCCAGTACAACCTTCTCAATAGCAGTTGGTCTGATCGTCATAGTTACAGACTTTCAGTCGATCATCAAATAAAGTTCCATAGGGACACACCATTCGTAATGCTCTCATTGTATTATGGGAGGCTGGAACACACAAGTTGAAATGGCTACACGAGTAGGGATCTCTGTAAATTCCAATACCCACTTCGTCACAATCCAAAGCATAATCTACAACAGTAAAGAAAAGTGTTCAACTTATGTTAAATGGTACGTTCCTTTAGCAACGGTACGATATGTACATGTATTGATAATATACTAATAATATGCTAATAATATACTAATATTACTACTGATAATATCCTTAAGGAACATAGTTAGATCCAAGTTAAAATGGGGCAAAAGGGGGGTCTGAGTATATTATTTAAAATACAATTTGAAAAAAAAATGGCAGTTTTAATATTGGTCGTTTAAAAAGCGAAGCGTTTGTCTCAATTGCCTCCATTACGCTGTGGCCTTAGCAATATGGTAATTCTTGTTGATGAAAGAGGGGTGAAAGCTCGCATGCGACAGCTGAAATTCTAACTAGAGATGTTGCAATAGCATTGCATGGCACCAAACGCTGAAACGCTAGCAGACTGTACTCCGTGCAGAAGTAAATTTTTGTGATGGGGCGGCGCTGTTAAGAGATGTTAAGCTATAAAAATGAAACACTATTTTGGAAACAATGTGTTTTATCTGGAAATAAAACTGAACAAACCTTATCATATTCATATTGCTGAAGGCTTCGCAGTTACAATACGGCGCAATGAAGCCACAGACGCTGTTAATGGTGTTAGTACAAATATGAATACTGCAAGCAAAGCTTCTGTTGCGCTAGTGTTTGGTATTGCATTCACATGAAGTTGGTCGCTGTCTTGGTGATGCTGGTTTGCGCTTAGAATGGCTCTGGTGCTGATAATGCTCTCGCTTTGACGCTACTAGGCCCGTGTCTCCACAATGATGTCCCTGTTTCAGGCGCTCTCATAGTTTTCAATTCCGGTTTACGAAAACTTCCGACGACTTTCTGAACTTGGGATTGCGACTCCATTCATCTTGAATTTTATGCCAACGCGCTTTTGGCATTGAATGCGCAGCGCGCAATTTCACACAAATAATCGATTACAGCTCTTACTGAATTCTGTTCATTTGTGATTCAGAAAGCAACTACTAGGGCTAATAATAGAGTCAGTCTGATGTCGGCTGAATACATCTGCTGACTTACCCCCAGATAATTGGGAAGCCCCACAGAAAATAGACCCCACCCCATTTACCTGCATCTTCAAATTTGTATCACTTTGCATAAGAAAAGAATTGCCCGTGAGCCCCTTTGATAATTTTGTGACACCTACTCGACCACCGCACCCCCACCCCCTCACCTAATGCTTCCGAGAAACGCTATTCTAAGCAATGCTGATCAGCTAATAGGAAAAATCATTCAGATCCAATCTAAATTTCAACCGACCCACCTTCACTTTTTATATCTACACTAGCAGCCGCTCCAATTTTCCAGGCGTCTAAACCCTTCTTAAGAATGTTGGACACAGTTCTCAAAAGAGGGTATTTGGTACCGCCGCAATGACCACTAAAGTCGTCCATTTCAACAGACCAAATAAAGGCACCAGCCAACTCTCTCATTATAATGTTCTTGGCCTAAAATAATAAATATAACATCTATTAGTGGTAAGGAGGATGGTTTCATGGAACCGACTGGAATAACAAGAGCCTGAGATGAGGAATCGATGTGGTGCTAATACAACCTTATACACAAAGGAAAAGAAGCAATCTAAAATGAAGTTCTTGATTGCAACATTGTTATAAAAAAAATCAAACATAAAAATAGTTATGAAGAACATACTTTAATTGCTATACTATCTGGGGATTCGAACCCAATCCATTCACCATCACCGTGAGCATACGGTACTTTCTGTTCATCCACCCATTCCACCTTCCACTTTTCATCCTGAATCTTCTCACAAATCTACAAAGTAAAGATGGTTCATTATTAAACGGTCTACCGTGAAGGTTCTCAAGCTTTCGGCAACAGATTCAGCTTTACAACTGTCGAGGATTGCCGAATGTGTTCAAGATACGATAAAGAAAGAAACAGTATGGGTTCTCTAGATCTTTACCTAGTTGGCTTTTCCTGTAGATAGATTTGGGTTTATCTTAAACACATAGGACAAAGTTTCACTGATTTAGTAATCCAATAGGTATATTTCAATCTGAACCATATGGGTTTTTCCAGATCTCCATCCAAATTATATATCTTGCTAGTTGCTATCTAGATGTCTTTCTTAGTAAGGTATGTCATAATAATCACCCATGCTAGGTTTATCAAGAGGATTATTCAGATTTTTTTTATAGCTATGTTTACCTTGATCTAAAAGCAATTTGAGTATATCTACATTTTTAGGTTTATCTAGATTCAAATCTAGCGTTTAGCTGATTTAATATATTAACGTTATGGCTATATCTAGACATCGAGATAGGGTAGTTTAGATTCTTAAAATCTAGGATTTATAGACTTGAACATCTCTTAGTTAGTTTATTTTAATCCGTTCTAGCTGGTGGTGCAGAATAGTCGACAATAGAAGTAACCCTACCTAAGGTTATTTCGTTTTTCCATAGAAATGTGATATCTATATCCCGACCATTCATGGGTTTGGAGTATACGTACAGAAATAACCCTACCTCATATAATGACAAGATACCAGATTCAGCAGTATATCGTCCTTTAGTGTTGCCGCCATCAGCAGGTGCCCGGATACCGTGATCATTGGATATCAGTTTATATCCTAATCCATAGGTAGGTAATCCTACGATAAGCTTCTCTTTGGGTACTCCAGTTTTTAACCAGTACGATATCGACCATTGCTGAAATATATCGTGAAAAGACAAATCAGAGCTTAGTTTAGTGTTCAATCACTAAATTCGATTTTAAATTTAGTTTATTATCCGATCAGAAGATCGTATTTCTAAAAATCTAGTTTTCATTTCAATTTATGTTTCGAAAATTTAGAAACTTTAGCAAATCAGACAATCGGGAAGTTTGATGAGGGTTCACAGAATTTCACCATCTATTTCCCACCTTGGACGTACCCTGTTCAGAATGTCGGGTCGTGGAAAGAACGGTGGTTCGAACGCACCGAACAGCTTCCATTGAACCTTGTGCGCAACTTCCAACACTCCCGCCTTCTGGGTGAAGGTCAGTTTTCATCAAGCACGCTTCCACTCAACATCGTCATGTATAGATTTTTAACTCATTCTGTATTGTCTTCCATCGAATAAATGTAGAGTTTTAGTTTGTTATTCTTTACATCGACACATAGCCTGAACATACCCCTTCGTACCAAAACAATAATACAATACAAGGCGTAATTGAATAGGCTATGCTCCCTATGACCCTACCTGGTGTAATTCCTTCTGTTCACCCTCGGGGTCTTTAGAATGTGGTAGTAGAGGACTGTGGTGTCCGGTGTGTTTCTCCCAGCCTGAACCATGGTAGTTGTACGTCATCAATAACATATAGTCGATATAGCTGAAACAAGGAACAATGTATTCCTCTACACAGAATGACTGAGCACTCAGAGTATATTAAACTGACAAAAGAAGGAAATCCATCGGAACCAGAAAATGATGTCGGATTACGCAGAATGTCGGTATACTCAGATGTCGGATTACGCCGAGTACACTGAATAGAACAGAAGGGTGTAAAACCCTATTTCATTGACATACAGTACAGTAGTTATACAATGTATAACAATGTTGCAGCTTATCATATTTTTTGTCTACTTCAACCAAAACTCGAAATGCGTGTATCACATAAAGCCCTTTGCGATTAGTGACCACAGACGTATGATTGAAAATCTGAATGATTCAAATTGATTCTATCAGTGCCTCCGATACTCATAACAAATTTAGAAAATCTCTTTACAATCTCTTTTTAGTGTATCCTTAAAGGGTATTTTTTAGGGTTCCATTGTCAACAGAGTATCGGATGTAAACATGAAATTGCCTATATGCTATCCCCTTTTTGTATCGTGCATTGAATTGGATACTATAAACAGGTTGTTTGGTACTTACAGATGGATCTTGTCTGGTTCATATGATTTACTGATGTAGAATTCACTAGAAGCAGTAGCTAATGTTAGTAACAACCGTTCTCTCCCAGTAGCTTCTGATTCTTCAGCAAAAGCATCATAGAGAGCCTACAATGAACATTAAAGCTATCATGAATTTTCAAGAATGCGCAGTAAAAACTTTACGCAAAAAGAATGCTTGTTAAAGAACGACATATTATGCATATAAGTTACAAACACAAATTTGTCATCATAATATTCATATAAGGGTACTATGTTTGTTTCAGATATTACATCTACTACATATTTGAAATATTAAAGCTACCATGAAGTTTGAAATAAAAAAGTTTGAATTGAATAATGATAAATAAGGGTTTTATTTTTTGGTTTCATGTATAACAGCTACCAAATATTAGGAATATTAAAGCTACCATGGCGTTTATAGTATAAATATGGGTTCTACATTTGCTTCATATATATTTGTATATGCACTTACCTTCATGTATTTAGTAAATTTATATTTATCATTTTCACCACTGCCTCTCGTACCGGGGAATTCCCAATCCATGTCCATTCCATCGAACCCATACCTGAAAATTGATGCCACATTATGAGATATCATTTTGTTAGTATATCTAACTGGCGAATTTGAATATTTTTGCTTTGCTGTTCTGCAGAGAGTAATTTTTTCATATAAATACGAGCTACTTGATTTTCCTTACTTAAATATCAGAATATACCTACTTTCGTAAATATTTGACAGCATTTTTAACCCAAGCTGTCCACGTGGCTTCGTTCTTGATAATGGGTAAGAATGGTTTAGACCCAATCTTCCAGCCACCAACTGCTAACAATACTTTTAATTCTGGATTCTTCTCTTTCAGTCTAATTGTTCGAGCATAAAGACCTGTAAAAAATGATTTTGATTTTCTGTATATAGAAGGAAAAAGAGGCTTTTACTGTATTATATGCCAAGTTTCAAAACCAGTTGAGCCCTTGCCCATGACCTCTGACCCTACCTAGCTCCTCAAACAGTAACGATATCACATCCGTTTATCACGTCTGAGGAATGGGTAGGGTAAGGCTAGAATCGTCGGGCTAGTTGTCCTCCTTATGGATTTGATATCCGAAATGCTGTTGATATCTAAGCTCTTGCCCCAGACACCATCACGCCATCACGCCATCTCAATTTGCAGCAGGGAAGTAGAACGTAAAACACCATTTCAATCGAGTCGATACCACGGGATGAAGTTTTGCCAATTTAGTAATAAGAATGAAATAGTAGACATAATATAACCTCTCGTCGGTCGTCCCAAATCAAATATTGGTAAAAGCTATAAGTCTTAATGATACATAAAGAAACTTTATTTACATCTATAAGAGATTAATGGTTGCTATTTATTTTTTCAGAGCGGATTGTTTTTGTTTTTATTTCTCATACTCAATGCCAAAAACTTAATCTTTATAACTTATACCCCTGGGACAAAAGAAAAACGACAGAGGTACGTTTTAAGAATAATTACCCTCTTAAAAATAGTCCTTTTGAGAAATTTTCCGTAATACTTTTTAGATTGAAAATCAGGCTAGTCCATAATTAAATACAATTTCATTTAAACGACTGCATTCCTATAAAGGGATTCCAAAAGAGATCTATTTGCTTTTAGGAACACTAAGTGTCTTGTAGTCTGAATCAGTGGTCCTTGCAAAACCATGATCAGACGATGCCAAAAGCTAGAAAACAGCCTTTGAATACAGTGAACAGCAAAACGTTGTTTTCGTTCCATTCTTATTACGACATCTATGGTTCCAGGAAACTCTTTGAAAGTCTCAAACGTTCAATTTATCACTTACCTTCTGGTCCTAAATCATTCCAATTGTTGGGTTTTAAATCTCTACCGTCTTTAGATATATCAACGAAAGCGAAGATAACATGGGTACATAGGAAGGGGTCGATATGCTCTGGCCAGAACTTCCCTACGCTCGGTCTGCCATTGGCCGAACTACTGTAGTAACAGAACACTTTCTTATCAGAACCTGAAAATGGTGAACATAAGAATCAGAGAAAGTGTCGGCACCAATTTTGCAAAATATTATTGATTTTGCATCAGAATTGTTTAATAACTTATTTTTGAAAATAGTTGAGACATTGGGAAACTTAACATCTGCTTCAAGATATTGCCGGTTGGTTTTTTGATTTAAATTTTTAAATGTATTCATTGCTTTGTGAGACCTGATAATGAAATGGACTATCGATAGAAATATCAGACATAAATGATATACAACATCTTAAAATAAAATAACATACCTTTAGCTTCAATAAAATGACAAAAACTTAAAATGGCTGCCAAAAATATCACAATTACATCCATGATGCTAGAAAAGACGAAAACACAAAATCAGAAAATCAGGATATAAATGTGTTTAAAGATGGGTTTCCTTATTTTTTAATGTCATATTAAGCAAACTTAATTGGTGTTTCTCATGAATAATAATGACTGTATTCTCAATCATATCATTATGTTTTTTTCGCATATAAATGAGAGTTTTAACCAATCATAAATGTCCCTGTATATGTACAGTCTGGATAAAAAAAAAAGACTTTGTGACCTTTCTTGATCGGTCATTCATCGGAGTTCTGACGGTAATTCGCTTCTAATTTTGCTATGAATTAATTATGGCCATGTGAGACAAACTAGTATATTTCCAAGACATAAGAGCACCTGTAGTTTCATTTTAGCACTTTCATTTTCATAAATGAAAAAAGGGAACCCATCTTTAAACTTGTCTGAATTGTCCCCGTATTCAGCGTGAACCTTTTATCAACGTCAGCAGAATTCCCCTACAATTTGCAACCAATTTCACATCTTTTCAGCAGTATGTTTACAGATAAAGTACCAAAGCTCTCCAAAAGTCACAAAATTATCCAAAAGGTTACAAAGCTATTCAAAAATGTTTCAAACTACCCGAGAGTCACAAAGATTTCCACAAGACACAAAATAATCCGAAGTAACAAACCTATCCGAAAGAAACAAAGCTCTCCAAAGTAAGAAAGTTTTCTAGAAATAACCAAACCTTTCCAAAAGGAATAATGATTATCTTTAAGGTTTGAAGAAGTCGCCTCTGAAAAATCAAGAAAGTCCGAATTGATGTAAAAATATAGTTCTAACCTTGGCATTACCCTCAGAACAAAAACCTCATATATCACAGACAGACCCTGTACACTTACTTTATGTCATCCTTATGTCCTTTTAGTCTGACACGACACAGAGTCCGTCTTTTTTCGCGAAATAGTCCGGATTTCTTGTCGACGAGGTGTCAAATGTAATACAGTCTTAATACACTGACCGTCTTGATGTTTCTCAAGGCCACGAGCACCCAGACGGACCATAAACCATATTTCTTATATTTTTTGTTTCAAGCACGCATTGCCAACAAATACCTACATACGACGTTACGTCAGTTTTTGTAAAAAGTTACATTTTTTATGACTGCGGCACGATTTAATGGTAAAAGCCCGACACTTAATTGAGGCTAGTTGTGAGACGAACGAAGTAATCTCCAGCCCTCCGTGCTTCTCTCATATTTTTAAATCTTAACATAAATACCTATTTTTTCAATCGGTTATTAAGTTGAAACAATTTCAAATATTATAATGTTTTGTACGAAACGATTTCAAATACTGTAATTTTTATGTACGAGACAATGCTATCAGTTTTTAAACCGGTAGTGTATGAGAATTATAAAAGATGATCTGATTTTTAATGCGATTTCGCTGAATGAAAGAATAAAAAATGTCAGATGCGTGGAGTATTTTTTTTAAAATCTACAGACTATGAATGAGACTGCTCTATTGTTTAGTTAACACAATGTATGAATTTGGGGTAGTGTAGATATGTATTTATAAGATCACAAAGTTCTTACAATTTGTTTATAACTTAATGGTAGCTTTAAGGAAGTTGATGTTCAAGATGACTCTTACGATGGGAATGACTGGTGCCAAACAACGTTATTCAACTACAGAAATATTTGTTGTTATTTTATCTTTACTTTAAAGCCAATCACATTTACATCTTCTTTTTATATTGACCTTGCATTTTCGTATCTTCATGGTAGCTTTAAGAAACCATATTTGTCTCTATTGATTCGTTGATTTGAAGTGTCAAAATCTAGAGAAGTCGTGTAAAAATATGTTAAATGCCAACCTTTATTGTTTGACATTAAATCGTCCCCGATTAGATTCAATATCAATATGATATCAACCCGGATTCGCATCGTCGTCTAAAATTCTTTCAATGACTCGATATTTGTGTTGCCATAACAACAAGATTCTAACATTATCGATGGATGTAAAGGTCCTCGGCCACATAGATATCCTAAAAAATTTGACCTTCATTCGACCTTCTTTTCAAAATTTTAAGATCATCACCAACCCCTATAATCCTAAAAAGTTTCATGAGTTATGGATATTTGACGAAAAAATGCATTCATGTGGGGTGGAAGGTTGTAAAAAAATGAAATGAAATGAATGGAGTTTAACGTCCTACTCTTCTGCACCATATGGGCTAATGAACACGGGCAACGCCATGCAGGGTGCCATGAGGGAAATTTTGCCAGGACTGCTCTCTTTCGATTTCCAACTGTCGAGGTATCTTTAACGTGCACAGCCTGTAGCACACGGGGCCTCGGTTTATTGTCTCATCCGAACGACTAGACGCTTTTTCCATGTCAGCCCCTCTTACCTGCATCATTGACAGGGGAAAACCGGGTTGAAAAATCCGAAGGTATTATCTCGACCTATGCCGGGATTGAACCCTTGACCTTCAGGTTAGCGAGCAAGGGTCTAACTCAATGAGCCACCGCGGCTCCGGAAGGTTGTAAAGCGTGAACTGGGTGTGTTTACAAGTGGTGAAGTGAAAGCGTTTAAAAGTTTTAGTAGACGTGTGTTTGTTTAAAAACCCAAACTTTTTCCCACGAAGGTTCTCATATACTATTTATTTTCTCTTTTCACCTTTTTTACGTTCGAGATGATGAGCTAATTTCCATTGTCAACTAGCAAGCTCAGAGGTGTCAGAAAAAACAAAAAAAGTTAAATATTTGTGGTTGTGTGTTTGTGGAGTGTGACAATCATCCTGGCGAAGTGTTGAACCGGATATATAAACACCTTGTCAATTTTAAATGCATAAAAAATCGTTTAACTCAGTGGTTATGATCAGATCGAACTACTTTGGTTCGATTTCGGTCATGGCGTCATGCAGTGATTGGTTATGATCCATTTTTGATATTCATTCTGCACGTACCATATAGCTATATTTTCAATACCAATTATTGTATTGTTTTTATGTTTGTTTGTTACCCACGAGGGCATATATGCAATAAATCTTATCTAATCTTATAAGTTGAGATTAATACCTGTTTCAGGTATAAAGTAGGCCGGGACAATGTCGCTTGTATTGGTATATGCAGAAGGGGAAAAAGAAGATTGGACGCAATAACTGTAGAAACGCCCCACCCCCTCCTATTACCCTATTCATTTGCACGCAATACTTTCTGTCAGAAACCTTGACGAAATCTCATTACCGATAGTCGCCTCCATCTTTGAAGTCGTAAAGACGAGTTCGTTTACTATTAGTCATAAGAAGTAACGTCACAGCATTGCGCCCTGTCTCACTCCAAGCTCTTTATTCAAAAATTAAAAAATTGAACGAAATTTCTGTTTGTGACGCTATGTTTAAACTATATCAATAAGTGTATTACATTTTACTACATGTTATCCCACATCAGCAATAATGTGTCAAATTTCAAACGAACATTTTTTCGGGAAATTTCTTTATCATTGTTTTAAAAAGTGGCTACTATTTTGTGCAAATAAAATCATTACTATCAATAAAATTATGAATAACAAATAATATGCTGCGTCTTAGAGTTTGTTTACATCATTTTCTTTCAAAGAAGATATTTATTACATTTATGCATTAATGAAATAGGACACATAGGGCCTTCTATCTTCGACTATTCCATAGCCGATGTCCTACAATCATTGACCTTCGGGTTTTTAGATCAGTGGCAACGATACTAGTAGTTCCGGAAGGAATTCTTCATGAAAATTGATCCTCAATTTTGATTTGATTGAAGTTTTACTTAGAAAAGAATTGTTTATGAACAAATCCATAAATTCAGCACAGCCGATGTGAAAGATAGAAAAACACCATTATCCAGTGTACTTTGATTTAATTTTGAAACAAAATAGATTCATAATCTTTTCAAGGGCTGACTGACAAAGGTATTTCCAGCCATTTAAAGTATTCCAATGCAATTTTGGATAATCAAAAAGCCAGCAAATCTTTTGCTACATGAACTTATTGAAATCCAGTTCCATAAAGCAATACAGTAATCTTACCTTAGTTTAGTATTTCACAATCTGCAACCTCTTTCCATGAAAAAATAAAATCAAGGCAGCAATGAACACAGTTTGTCTTTAAGACCAAATTTAGACGTTAGATAAAATCACATCTAAGTTCATTCGAATCACATGCTTCTCTCCGACCCCTTTCTGAAACAATAAACTCAATTTTAAGGCTGAACTTTAACTATATACGACAGTCCAAAGTGTCCACCAATCAAATAAGAAGATGTTCTGTGCAAATTGACGAGTAAACAACCTTGTTGTCTAAACTTTTCTTTATTTTACCATTTACATCTCTTACATGCCATAAACTTGTGACGGGGGCGAAAAAGTGTTAGCGTATTTGATTTCTTACAACAGAAACTCAATTCAGACTGCGAAATGAAGACGAGCAATAGCACTGAATTTCGTTTTGTTTTTGACGATCAATTTTAATTTGTGCCATAAATGTACCCCGATATACGCATCATACTTCTTAATAAGGCAAAGGGGCAATATTATCATGCTGTTCAGCAGGGGCTGTGACATCACATGATGCAAAATAGTGCAAAATGTATCTACGGGCTGACATCGAAAAGCGTCTAGTCGTTCGGATGGTACAATAAGTACAGTTGGAATTCGAATAAGCGTAGGCAGGGCGTTGCCCGTCTTCATTAGACCATGGTGATGGAATGAGACAAGAAGCGATGTTGTGACGTTACTTGTTATGATATTGTGCGAACGATTTACGTTGCCATTTATCTCTATGAATAGGGGAACTTTCTTTCTGGATGAGTCATACCGATTTCCTGCGCGGTTTCTGTTGTTCTTGTAATATTAGAAAATCTACACCATTATACGGGGGAAGCGAAATGTGTAATTTTAGCGGAATCTCCAAAAATCCTCAACAATTTGGTGTAAATGTAATGTTCAGGTGAGAACCATGTCAGGTCTGTCAATAAAAACACTGGTCCAGATTGTTAGGAATTCTTTAATCTTTGTTGGGGTGTATTGATCGGAGATTTAAAGTAGAGATTTAAAATTTGTTGAATTCTTTTTACAGTACACACCTTCATTGTAAGGGCATAATCCTCTGATTATTCTTTTCATCAACTGGCAGATCTTAACTTCAGGGTCGTAAATTAGTTTAGGTTAGAGACTATAATTATCATTTTACATAGTGGAAAAATGACCCATGGTCCTTGCTCAGGCTCAGCCCCCTCATCTGATGTTTCCTAGAAACGCCACGGCGTCGTATGGAAACTCCTTGGGGCTGAGCAATTCTCGGGCTTCTGAAAGAGGAAATATCAATGAACGATTATCACTGGTCACGGTCATTCAGTGGACTAATCAGCTCATTATTTCATTAATACTTATTACTGAGTAGAGGTCACGTCATTATTTCAACGAAATTTACACAGACGAAAGGTTGTTGAACGGACTACACACAGTGGCGGCTAATTCAAAATGCAAGAATTCAGCCCTTCTTTTATACAATTATTTCCATAGGCACCCCCTAGAAAATATAGGAAAAATTTGACGGTGCCCCCCTCAAATCCAAACATCTCCAGCCGCCACGTATTAAAACTTTACTTAATGACGCAAATCGATGCTATCAATATCTCCGATAGACATAAAAAATTCGAAAAATTTATGCAAATATTCCAACAGTGATGTCAAACGCTTAAGCGATGTATAAAGGAGCCACAGGCATCTGACGGATGATTGAAAGGATATAACTAGAAGCAATAATGAAAATCAATTTTAATCAATCCTTTAATTAAAATTACAGTTGATTTCATAAAAATTACTCAATAATTAGTTGGCTTGTTGCCCACAAAACTGATACACACAAATTGCAAATTGTATGAATATATTATGAGAATGGGACTAGACCAAACAGGTTGGAGAGGATAGTTTCATATAGAACACTACCAATAATATAACATCATACTTATATTTCTATTACCGTAGGCTTTAAAATATTATAGCTTACACCATATATTAGATTCATTCCTCCCCAAGAAAACAAAATTAAAAAAATTAACAAAAGCAGTCCAATTTATTTTCAGGTAGAATAAATAATATTAAAAACTATATAGGCCTGTTCTATATTGTGTTCTTAACTAATTAAACTACCTTAATATAAAGTGGACTGTCCCATGCATGTGCATTATTATCTCTGACCCACAATACCGTACCTAAGAAATAATTGTTGATTTTGTTAATATAAATATTGCAGATCAACAGGCAAACCATGAGATAGATCTATTTTGATTGGACAATACCCTGATGTATTCTGATTGGTTTACTTAAGCTAGTATTTCAGCATTTAAAATTTAGTTTTATTAATAAATCAGGTTATTGTAAGATTCTAAAAATTTCACCCCCTGTAGCATAATGTAGAAAATGTTTAGAAATGTTATTGCTATAAGTATTATTAATATTATGCACTTAAAATTGAAAGCACAAATGTTATAAAGTTAAAAATATTTACAACCAAAACTCAATACATATCAATATGGATTACCAAATTATAAAAGATGGAGAGAGACAATTCCATACACAATGGACAATTCTCGGACATTTTATGGTAAAAGGGTTACCAGGTCAACTCTCTGTTTGTGGCATTAGAAATGAAACTAAGATCTGCGACTCCTGAAGAGACCCTAACCACACAGTGGTCAAAGGGTACAATTTACAAACAAAATAAAAATATTTTTATGACAGAACTTAAAACACATCTTGGTTTGAATCAATTCTAAACATTTACATAATAGAATATCAGTTGAAATTGAATTCAAGGGAGGTAACTCTCATAAAGACTACAACTAATATCGTTGGCAGAAGAATTCCTTTCTAACAGCAACAAATGTGTCTCATTTTACAAAAAACTGAACGAAACCTTTATTCAGAATTGAAATAAATTAAGATATTTCATTAGTTAATAAGACTGAAGACTTAAAAGGGATTGTTAATGGATTTTCAAACTTTTTATGCATATAAGGAACACTAAAAGCATGGATTTGCACCATTCCAATTTTCAATCAGACGTCTTTGGAAATAGAATTCTTGTAAATAGAAGTCATAAATGGCCCTGATACACATAAGGAATTTAGAAAACCTCATTACTACCCCTTATAAGTATCCTTAATACTAGAAAGTTTAGATCTAAATATTATTCAATGTAAAATAAATATGTAAATGTTAATATTAATCTCATATCTTTATATTTCTAAAAAATATCAATTATCTATAACAATAAACATTAAAATAACCTGGGTAATCTCCCCCCACCCCCTAAAAGGAAACCCACTAACTAATATCAAGTTGTTAAAATGCAGGCATGTTATAAAACTTATTGAGTTTGGGTACAAAATTAACTGTTTTTCATACAGTAAAAAATAGAAGAAGTGAATATATAACCAGGCTCCATCTTCTCAATGTCAAGCTTATACAACTTGGTCAATTAAGTGATTTGATTGGATTGAACGCTACCGAATACAGTCAATCAGAGCCCTCGATAGAAAGTCAGTAAACCATAAGCAGTAGTGTTTACAGTCTTTATGTCAAAGGTTTTGATTGGCTGTATCTGCTATCACACCACACCAAACATCGTCTATACCAGTTGTTCCCAAACAATCACCTGGACCTTTCACACACCCAAAAAATTTGTTTCATCCACATTTCCAGTATGTGATGATGTGAGGTGCTCTCTCAATTCAAAATAAATTCTTCTCTTACACCAGTTGGACACACCCCTGAAAACCCTAGTCCCATACCCCCAGGGGATGAAAACACCCCAGGTTGTGAACCGTGGGTCAATAACTTGTCTATTCCCAACTTTATCTACTATATCTCAGTCTCTGTAGAATCTAACCTAGCTCTATGTACTCCACTAGGCCTACGACTTCGTGAACTCTCTGAATCTTTATAATTCACCATGTTCACTTGAATTTCTTTGTCATTTTTCACAACATCGTGTTTACACTTCCAACAAATATAGGTCCGTTGAGATTTGTACTTCGGTTCTGGCTGAGTTAAAACTTTTGCGATTAACGTCATTGGCACTGTTTCACCATAGACTGGTTTGTCAAGTCCGTTTTCAACGTCATTTTTATTTTGATGATTATTCACAGAATACACCATTGCTGTTGGAGGAAAGGTTGCTATAGGAACACGTATTAATTTTGACTCCTTTTCTTTGGCTGAAGAGTTCTCCATATTTATTTTTTGTTCACTTGATAAATGTTTTTTGACACGATCTTGTAAGTCAACTGGAAGCTGAAAGAATTCCATTAACAAATTCTATAACATACGTAAATCTTATTGCATTTACATACCAACTTTGGCAAAGGCTGAGGCTCAATAAAGGCCAAAAGTCTTTTAATTCACTGACGGAAAATAAAGATTACCATTTATTTCTGTTTCAAAATAAATATTGTAAAAGGGTGATATAGACAGTGACATTATAATAATGGTAAAAAAGACAATTTTATGGATAGATACTTCTGGTATATTTATTACTTTCAACGTTTCAATGTGGTTCTCACACCGTCATCAGGAATATGATACTTCTAAAAGATTTATTACTTTCAACGTTTCAATGTGGTTCTCACGCCGTTATCATGAATATATTGGAATATATTGAAACGTTGAAGTAATAAATATACCAGAAGTATCTATCCATATCTATAAAATTGTCTTATTTATCTATATCTTGTGCTTCTAATTTGTCATTGAAAGATTATTATATTAATGGTAATTTGAACAATTGAACGAGAGTAGACCAAGTTGGTTTCTACGATTTATGCTGGAAACTAGAAGAGTATATTGCAAATTAATAGTGGGCAAAAAAGTGCTGTGAAAGAGGAGGGAGGGAGGACGGACTCATTTCAAAACACTGTGTACATACTGCATTTCTTTTTGGAGGTGCCACGCAAGCTAGCAGTAGGGATGTAGGTTGAAATAGATCAGTTGTCTGAAGAACAGCGTGAAACTCTCAGTAACAACATGTTTCAGGTTCTGTTTTAATATTTCTATAGATCTACTTACGTAGTCTAGCTTATGAGCTATAAAATTGGAGGGTTTACACTGTAGCAATTGTACTGCCATATTGCAATCTGTTCTATAACGGTCCTGCAAACAAAATATTAAATACTTCAACATATTGATCTTCAAATTATTTAGATAAACATTATTATGTGGTGGTAATAGATGAAAGGTACTTTTGGGCTAAATTTCAATTTTCCACAGCAGGGCCAGATCGGCTTAATGTGAATTTTTTTTTTGTTTCTTCATAGCAATATTTGATTAATGCTTTCATCAAATACAAAACTGAATATACATGTATATCAAAGCAGAGTTCCTTGCAGAACATCTTCTACTAACTTAATTACAGAATCAGTAAATGTTGAATTAAGTTGGAATCCTGCATCTTGATACCTCACAGAAAGGTCAAAGGTAACTGACTCACTTTTGCCTCAAGGATTCAAGATCAAGATAAGAATAATCAAAATATCTTACATTTTCTTCCTCAAGATCACAAATAGTGAGTTTAGCATCAACTAATTTGGATGTAGAAGAGGCCAGTTCACGCTGTAATTCTGTTTTCTCTCCTTCAAATTTATTTACCTGTAAAATATAACAGGGTATAATAAAGGTTAACCGCCCCCCTCGCAGCCCCGAAAGCAAGTTTTTCTGCCAAAAATCTCCTAACTAGGTTAACTAGGCAATCTCAGATATCTCGCCCCCTCTCGGACGTAAACCTGGCTCAACCACTGAAGACCAAATATGTCTATAAGCCAACCTAGAGGGTGTAAATAACAGATTTAAGAGATGAATGAACTTACAACTTTCAAGAGTTTATCCTCTAATTCATGATTCACTTTCTGCATTCTTTTATGACTGTCTAATAACCTAGAAAAAATAATTACCCATAAGTCTCTGGAAGGCAAAATGGCTTCACATCCAACATTCTTCTTGCTATTTCTTATTTCTTATTCAAGGCAAATTGCCCACAGTAAAATTTTACAAACTATATGATAACATTTAAGGAAAGAACAAAAACAAACAAACAAAAGACAGGGAGGATATAGAATGTTACTATGTATAGATAGCATATTATTACAAGCCATTATCGACTATGTTTATATCTTACTTTGTTAGTCATTTGTTAAACATTTTAGCCGTAGTTTTAAGTCAAGATTACTGAAGAATTCTAAGGGTTGGCACGAAATATTATCAAATGGATGTCACAATGCAAAAGTTCCATCCATTAGTGATTGTAAAAGCTGTTGACAATTCATCTACATTAAATTTCTAGTAATACTGTCACTGGTGTCTAAAGATAAACTTCAAAGATATGTATCATATTGTATGTATTCTATCCTGATATACATTGTATCATATCTGTAATGGCCATGCGTATTGAATCGTGGTACCAAATTCATTGATAAATAAATGATAAATTGTTATTTTTTTTTATCTAATAACCCATATTGTGATACATTGTATCTCTTTTATTGCATACACATCACACTTGCATCCCTTTTATTCTGACCTAATATCACTGAATAAAGTTATTATTATTATTATTATTTTATCCTGACACGTATCATATCGTATCATATCGTATCGTATCATATCGTATCATATCGTAAGGCCATATTGGTGAAAGCCTGTTCCATTTCTTAGAATAAAATATTGTATTAAAAAAAAAACAGTTATAATATTTACCTATCATATCTATCACGTAGTTTATTAAATTCATCTGTAACTTTTAATAACTCCCAATCAGCCACTTGTTTACTGTCTAATAATTCATGTTCTATCTGTGATATATGACCATTACTTCTCACCAGATGGCTTTGTAACTCCTCTATTTGTTGATGCAGATCCAAACTGAAAAAAAAATTCAATTAAGCGTGAACTTCATCATCCACATCCAGATAAACTGACTATTTATGATCTTGGGAAAGAAAATGTGAGATATCTACAAAATATTACGTCAAATCACTCAGTTTGCTTAGAACTAGGCTTTCTGTTAATGTCCGTATCACAGGTTTTCTAGCTTTTTTCTATGTGTATTGGGGTAATTTAAGACTTCTATTTGCATGATTCCAATTTTCAGTCGGATGATTGTGTTCCATATATTCATAAAAATGTTTATAGAACTGTATGTTATATGACGTCACTTTTTCAAAAGCTGCTGATAAGATCCAAGTGCCTTTGTGAGAGCTTTGTCATGAAACACTCTGTCTTAGAGAAACTGGAAGAAAGACAGTCTAAAGAAAATGATTTGTATAACTCAAGGTTTACAATTGCTGAAAACACTATCATAACTAGAAAAAAAAACAAATTAGCAACAGAAAATTCTGACTCAAAATCAACCCCCATTTATTCAATCGAAATCAATCTCTAATGATATTCTACTGTAAGTTTAACCAGTGACAGTATACTCGGTAATGTAGTGTGTAGGTGTCTTCATGACCAGTCTTTAACACAACTTTTGAATCTCACGTCTCGATCTTTCCAACCTGGTTTTAGGAATATATCATGTCTTCACAATATATAGTTTTTAAAATATTCTATTCAAATATCTGTACGCCATCTTCTCAAAAACTTAATTAATCAAGTACAGAAAAGGAAAAATTCAAAATGTATTTATCAAAATCATATTAAAATAATACCTGTTAGCCATGTTCTTAGAAAAACTAATTAAGAAAAGTAAGGAGTGGAAAGAACGATAAAACAATTGTGAGAACTTCAACACTTGCAATCTGCTGCACATAAAACAATGGAAATCTATAAATCTAATCAATTATTCTGAGTGAAAATCTATAATGTTAGTTTCTTCATATTGACAACCTGTCTTAGACAGTTCTATATACTTAAAGGGATTACTGTAATGTTTTTGAGTCAGGGCTGATACAGTTCCAGCGTCCTGGAACTGTGGGTACAAATAAGGGGCAGATTGAATGGTTTGAGATTCCAAATCCAGAAGCACTGTCGAAGCACCATAGATGAAAGCCTCTTATGAAGGATTTGACAGGTTCTCCATCCTTAATCATCCAAATATGTGCTAGCGACAGTATTCAATCAAACCTCACAAAGTCTTCCTGACGAACACAAAAAGATCGAAAACCACTTTTTTAAAAATATCTTAAGACAAACAAAACCAAATTCTAAATATCATTTGGCCTGACTGGTTGTTAATTCCCTTTAACTTATTGAACATCAGTAAGTTTTATTCAATATGAAAATAATGAATAAGTCATGTCAGCAAATTCCGCATCATCAAAATTTTTCCAAACGAGCTAAAAATATGGGCACGTGATGAATTGGCTATTGAGCTGCTTAGCTGGATTTCAAATCTCCAAATGTGAAAGCCAAATTCTGCCAATTTGAATTGGTTTCAAACACAATATTGCCATGATCAGGAAAAAGCCTCAGGCAAATCTGTTGCTAGAATTTCAGAAATATGCCGAAAATTGAGGTTTATGTCTTTCTTTCCAGCAACTAATTGGGCTAATTAAGACAGGTCAAATGAACTCTAGCCTACTGCTATATATCTACAATATCCATACCAATCCAATATCAATTCCAATCCAAAACGCAGTTTCTGAAAATCATGCAACTGTAGGTTAGGAAATGTATGCTGCACGAATCATCCAACATCTCCAACAGTATTCCACAAACCAAGAAATCAACAAAATAAACCATATTCTTACCAAAAACTAGAACAATTTGATGCCATCCTTCATTTGCCTTTCAACAGATAATCCCAAATTAATAAGGCAGGAGAGACAAGAAAAATCAATACCAATCTCTTACTAACTGCACAATTCAATGGTAGTTATTTCCCTTGGTTTTGCCATGTCGTCTGCTTAAATCACAGAATGGCGTCTGATCAATAATTACAAACAATGTTTTCCGTAGGAGGAATTGAGGGGCAGCTACATCATATATGGAGTCATTTCTTGGAAATTGGCTAATCATTATAGTCTTTTTTGGAGATCATAGATGTGTAGGACATTCATTCATTCAATTTCATTCATTCATTCAGCTTGTTTATTAACTAGATTATTTATTCATTCATAAATTTGTGGAAACTGGCATTTATAAAGGAGTGAACAGCCTAATATCTACACTTCATATCAAATGCCAAAAATTTCAGTACCATAATCTCAACCGATTTTGTTTCAAGTCGCTAAGATAACCCCATCCCTCTTGCCTTTAACACCTATAATCTCTCGTTCTCGCCTCTGCCTGAATAAGTTATTGTAAAGTTGATACTAGAGGAATTTCTGTATATATTAGTAAAATAGCCAAACTTTGCCTGAATAAGAATTGTAAAGCGGATATACTAGAGGAAATTCTGTGTGAACTAGTAAACTAGCCAAGCTCTGGTATCAATAAGAATTGTAAAGCGGATATAATATAATTGTGTGAACAAGCCAAGCCCTGGTATCAATCTCGTTAATAATTTTCTGTTATAACAAATTGACTCAATTTATTATCACTGCTTATCAGGATAAATACTGTACGATGATTATACACCATTTAACAAATAATACAAGGGAATATATTATGGTCTATGATATAACTCCCTTCTTTAATAACAAAGTACATAACTGAGTTGAATATATAGGAGTAAAGGAATAGATCAAGAGGGTGATTTTTTGTTTACTTAAATGCCATAATAAGACATTATTAACGATTTCTCGATTGTAAGTTGAACCTGCTGTAAATGCATATAAGAGAAAGAGCAATGCCAAGATGTTTGGCTAAGGACAAGCTGGTAGAAAGGATCCTCGTGAACCCGAGTTGTTTTCCTTGTAAGAAATGGTTGTTTCTTTCTTTCTAAGTTTTAAAGAGAAAGTCATCTTGGCCTTTCAGAGATTTGAATTTATAGAACCAAGTTGAAACCAGATAACAATGTATGGAACTGGAGGAAGGAAGATAACAATCAGTCCAGACTAATTAGTCTAATTAGTCCAATGTTATTTATTAAAGAAATAGGTCCGATGTCTGGAGATGGGAAGGCTTTGAACTTCTATTACAGGTTATATTTCAATATTCTCACAATATATAATAAGATAAGATTTGAACGACATTTAGAAGTGGAGAGCATACATATAACAAAAATACAAGGGAATATATTATGGTCTATGGTATAACACACTTGTTTAATAACAAAGCATATATCATTTCACCAACATTGAAACGTCGTTCAGAAGAAAATCATCGCGTGTAAATTGTTCTGTTTAGTGTTGGGAAGTGTGTTATACCAAATACTCCCATAAATTTAAAAGAATAAGGGAAACTGGACGTCTGATTTTAATTTTGTAAACTAATACTGATAGCCGAAATTTCAACTCTACACCTGGGATTATCAACTTGGCACCACTTTCAGGGAGTGTATACAGTGTAAGTGGTATGTTTATTCTAATCAATATGTATACAGCCAAATATAAAAACATAGATAACAAAAACTTAAATCATCTTACCTTGATGAACTGCAGGTTTTACAAGTACAACCACATTCCTATAACAAAAAAAATGAATGAATTGGCTTAATAAATGAATGAATAAATAAATGAATGAATATATATGAATGAATTGGCTTAATGAATGAATGAATTGGCTTAATGAATGAATGAATTGGCTTAATGAATGAATAAATGAATATGCATGAATTGAATGAATGAATAAGTTTACTGAATAGTAATATTCAATGAATATGCATGAATGTGAATGAATGAATATTATTCATAAGTTTGATTATAATTAAATAACTTTTTAAAAATGTGCATCAATAAAGACTACTGTGATATTAGGCATGCGTTGTTAAGTTGATAATGATATGAACTCTACATCCAAATCTCTGTTAACTTTCAAAAGATAGAAAAACATAGCCTACCTTGCAAGAATAGATACTAGAAGCACGAATGTCAGAGGCAACTCTCCGATGGTTACTTTTATTCCTCTCCATTTTCAGATTATGTTAATTTAAAATCAGAAATAAATTTCTGAAATAAAGGGAAATGACTGTGAATTATGTAAATATATGGATACAGGCAACTTAATAAAAGGATGGTTTAGAGGTTTTCTAAATCTTTTTCTATGACATATGTGTATCAGGGACACTGACACAATTCTCTGTAGGTAGCCTAGGGGACGAGTTAACTCACTTTGTAGACACATTAACTGTCGACAAGTTGACATGAACACATGACACTGAAAGCATTGTTTTGAACAATGAGTGTGGCTTTTCATACAGGATCTTTAGGTCTACTTTGACCTTAACTTTTTTGACATGTAGATACTTAACAGATGTTTTTGACCGTGAATAGGCCTAGTGGATAACTTTAAACAGTTTTATGTGACACTAACAGTGACAGATGGGTTTTAAGAGTACATAGCTTTCTTGAACTACAGATGCCCCTTTAATAATATTAATATATTTGATCTAACAGATGCAGTGTAGTAACAGAGAGTTTTTGACGGTGGAAAAGTTTAACCTTAACTATTTATGTGACAGTGTCACTGACAGATTGAATCTTTTGTTTTTGGAGAAGTTTCTTATTGTGGCAATGAAGAATCTAAAGTCACAGATCTGCTGTTCTAATAATTGTAATATCCCAAAGGCATGAGATTGAGAATGGATTCGTCATGTACTAGGGCGGGTCTGACAACTTAAAACAGTGAAAATCGATTGTAAAGAAAGTTCATCATCTTACACGTAAACATTCCACCAAAACAAAATATGACAGCATCGTTTCCGTAAACCCAGAAATCAAAACGCCATCAAAATACCGTCAATAACAAGATGTGCTGGATACCGTAGAAATTAAAATAAAACTAAACCAAAACGAAATATTGTTTAATCTGTACATATTTGAGTGAGCTTTGACAAATTGAAATCATTTTCAAATCAATAAGAGATAAGATAGAAATTTGAAGATTATGTTTATTTGTATGATTCTGAACCTTTCTTCTGGCTATCACTTTATTTCAATTCTGTACGGATTTAAACGGTAGCCTTACCTTTTTGGATGACGATGACTGCATGGATTAGTAAAAAAATTCTGTCACGATTTTTCGCGAAACGAAAGTTATTCTTTCATGTAAACCACATAAAAAATCATGTGTATAATTTAATTGATTATTCAGAATATCATTTTCAACTGATGATCAAATTTTAAGGTTTTGCGAGTCGTTCATTAAGATTTGAAATAGTGACATCTGTAGTAAGTCATTTAGACACTTGAGAGAGGTGAATATTTTGATGGACCCCATGGATGTTATTTTGACCCCCCAAAAAAGGCTGTTACCTCCATCATTTAATAGCACAAAACTTCCGCAATTCTGACTCCACCCAGTTCTTTATAATTTTACTGGGTCAGGGACAGAATGACGGCTTAAGACTCAAAAAAAAATTTACTTAGACTGGCAGACAACCCTTCGCTTGATAAATGAGGCATAATAATATATAGCCTTGGAACAAAAATTTCTAAATAGTCTTTGGTACCGTAACATTTTCATTGTTCACAGATATTTGTTTGACAGAGCTGTAGTAATTCGGAGTCAGAAAGTCCAAAAGTTGTTAAAATAAAAAAAAAACATAATAAAAATTGGATATCTTTTATCAAAAAACAAACGAAAGCTCTACATAATAGTGTTAACTAGTTAAATTATTCATCTCTAAATTCTTCTGTAAAAATTTACATTTTCAAGTCTAAAAATAGTGAAATAGTAATAAAAATAGATCAAAGATCCAACTAAAACATACACAATTTGTGTTTTCTGTTTTAATCTTCATAAATTCTATATTCATTACAAATTTCTTCTATTTCTAGTCTTCTTAAAGAGCTTGTAAATAGGTTTTCTAAACTTAATATTTTCATCAGGGACACTGATAGAACCAATTTGCACCATTTCAATATTCAGTTAGTGAAATTACAAAAACCAAAAACATCTGACTAAAATTGGAATGGTGCAAATTGATGTTATCAGTGTCCCTGATACACATAAAATATTTGTGAAACCTCTTTACATTCCCTTTAAATTTATTGCAAATTTTCACAGAAGAATAAGGTTGAAATTATACTGATAAAGACAGAAGGATTTCAATAAAATTCTTCCACAGTCTTACAATATTTTGATAAGATTCAACAGGATTATAATATTTGAATTATTTTGAAAACAACAATAAATTCTATGTGACCAACATCATATACAAAATTCTTTATAAAATGCAATAAAAAAGTTTAATTTTGGTTTTAATTAGGAATGCATATAGTTTAAGAAAATGCTCAATATTCAATATTTTTATATTAAGTTAGCCTGAATGAAAATATGGAAAGTTAAAACAGACTTGAAATTTCTTAAACTCAAACCGATAGAATCAGGCATATAAAAAAATAAATATATAAGCAAAAGAAATTTTAAGTAGTGTCAGATCAGCAGTCAAAAATCATAGCCTATTAGTGGATTTATAGTTATGAAGAAAATAAAAATATTATTTTTAATATTTCTTGCAAAGCATCATTCAATTACCTTAACAAAAAATATAGAGAAAAAATAGCAAATTTTCAAGCCACAAATTGAAATATCACAGTTTTGTTATGAAATGTACAAGAAAATGATAAAAATGTCTGTATTCTTTAATATATAGGAGATAAAAACATTAATATTTCCAAAAGGAACCAAAAAAGAAAAAATTTTACAGAATTACAAAAGTTTGAATATTGCTAATACCTATGAAAGATAACACAAGAATGGTCCTACATAGATAGTTGTGCTTATCTGGGGGACAATTCCAAACATCAACACAAGGTAGTATTAAAATCAAAAGAAAAGTCCTGCAGCTAATTGCTAATTATTGTACCTAAACACAAAGTTAACTGTCCTCAGATTTGCACACGTACCTTTGTCAGATTATAATGAAAACTTAAAAAACTAAACAGATCAATTATGCAGTATAATGAAGCTATAATTATGCAAACATTGCGTAACACTGTAAACAATAAATATAACAATAAAAACAATGACTCTCTATAAATCAACAATATTATATCTGATATAACTATGGTATAAATATGATATGCACTGCCTGGATACCTGGTGAATATAAATAAGACTCGAGGGCTCTTAAATATTAGAATGTTTATTGTATTATAGAGTACAAGCCTATTCCGCTGATTCATCAACATCTCAAGATCTAAGACCAACTTCTTATGTCATCATTATAAAATGTGACCCATTAGGAAGCCAATTTTGAGGCCCATGAGGTACTGGTATGTATAAGTGTTTAAATATTGGATTGAAGTTTGGATAGACTTGTGTCTTGTGATACAATCTGTTGGGTAAATGGTGGACCATGTCTATGAAGTTCTGCCTATTTTATATAAACCTTCTTTTAGAAATTTAACATACTCTACTGCAGAGGGGTCATCAAAACTGAAATAAAAATAATCAAAATTTATAAATCTCCCCAGCTATTTTCTTTACAGTCTATTTTAGGAGATAATTTATAGTGGAACTGCAGTAGCCACAGACACCTGAGTGAAAATTGGAATGGTGAAATCGATGCTATCACTGTCCCAAATACACATTAAAAGCTACACAAACTCTTTACAGTCTCTTTTAGGAGACCAATTCCGTTCGTATTTTATTAGTTTTGTTTCAAAATGAAACTTATAAAATACGAACGAAATTTAGGTCTTATTTTAATTAGACTGTTGAAATACAAGACTTACCCCATTTCTAATATAGAAACATCTATATCTAAGAAAGCGTTGGCATTAACTTTATTTAAGATGGTGCCGTTAGGATGTATGACCATCATCATAACAGGAAACTCATAGTTAGCTAATAGTTCTTTAGCAATCACTGAATACACTGGTTCACTCTCATCTTTCTCAAGTTCCTGATACAAAATTATAATATAACGTACAATATAACAAAAATCTAAAATAACAAAATAAATGAATGCTTTCTGAAATAATAAACTAATAATGCCTAATTCCAACTGCTGAATACAGTACCTCAAATTTAACAAAAACCAGATGAAGAGACAACTACATAATATGATTTAGTCCAGGGATTGACTGAATGCAAATTTTAACAGTACAAATTGATGCTATCAGTGTCCCTGATACACATAATAAGTTTAGAAAACCTCTTTACAATCCCTTTAAGATTTAACTGTACATATTACTTATGTCATAACCTATCTGCATAGAAAAAGTTTGCTTACGGGGAAAAACTTAAATTTTTCACCCAAAAAATTTGAACATACCTTGAGATCAGCGACCAATGACCAGGAGCTAATAAACTCTTCAGATAACAATGAGGTAACGGGCGGACTCTGTAAGGTGGTGTCCCTTAAAGTCCGCCCCGAACCTCAGCAGCTCTGATCGTCCAGTGCACCCCAGAGTAAAATGGAATGCACTAATTTTTTATTATCTTCTGCCTTTTTAAAAGCTTCAGTAAAATTATAATATGGAACCTAAAATATACATTATTTTAATCAATCAATAGTTTAATGATTTAGTGAAATTGCAAAAATTGTCATCTTCTGAATTTGAAGTTAATATTAATAACTTCTAGTGCTTACCATTCAACAATTCTGACCAACCATCCCAAATTGTTGACATCCAACAAATGAATATCAAAAGAAGTTACCCTTTTGAAACTTTTGTTTCTCAAATTGTTATCTGTGGACCCCAGATGGATAACCCAAGCCCATAATATTTAAAACACATCAAAAATTCTTGAGCCCACCCAAAACAGTTGACGTCAAATCCCAAATTACAATCAAAATAAGTTACCTTTTTAAATGGATATAAAGCTTTTTCTAAACTACTTTTGGCATCTTCTAAATCTATAGTGGCCATCCATTCTATATTTTCACCCTCTGTTTTATGTTGTGGTCGCTCTGGTAAGGGCTCCAGCAATTCATATTCTTCGAGATTTTTAACAGGGACGGATGATTGAGTACTGTTTAATTGCATCAAGGGCATGAACCCAATATCTACCTCCATATTCTCACTCTCATTGGGTCCATTTAACCATTCCATGTCTAGCATTGAATTATATATTAAACAAATGATAGCAAACAAGATATCTAAGCCCAATCTCAGAAAACAATTTTCAGTATTTTTTACACATGAGTTTTGATCTTCAAACTTTTTCAGAAATAAGCTCATTAAATTTTATATTACACAAATGACAAGAGCTTTAACATCTTAGCCTAATTTCACAAAAAAACATTCAAATTTTGTTCTTTAAAACTAAGAATTAAGCCCAACATCTCAACAAGAAATGCTAAAGGCTTGCTTAATGTAATTTGTCTTATTACATTTAGCATTGTTCTTTAAAACTAGAAATAAGCCCAATATTCAATCTTATAAGATCTTGTCATTCTTTACTACAATACAGTGAAAAAATGCTGAAGGATTGCTTAATATATTTCTGTCTTAAAACATACCCAGTGAGAGATTCACATTTAGCATTGCTCTACTGTATTTGTCTATGAAACTTATGCCAAAATATATACAGAATTTTTGAATATTATACCAATGTTCTTAATTAAATTAGTATATTAGGTCCAATATCTTTTAAATGTTCCTATCAGAGCTTAATTGAACATGGCTGGTAAATCTCAAAGAACTTACCTATATTGAGACGTTTATTATTAGGTACATATAGATTAAAATATTGGATGTGTTTTCCATCCTTTGATATTATAAGGTTACCAGTAAACTGAGCAGGTGTGAACCAAAATGGATGATAAGGCGGTTCATTCAATTGAAATTCGGCATGGATTCTAAACAAAACAAAGGTCTGATTCAGTTTTACAAGATACGTGTACATTCAGAATGTTTGATAATTTTTAAAATAAAATTTTGCTTAGTTTTTTTCGTGCTCTTCTTTGGGCTACTGAATAGATTCGATTGAATTCAGCATGAATAGTATGAATCTAATTGGGTTTTACATTATTCATGGGACTTCTGTTGATTGCACTATCGAAACAACTAGATGCTTTTCCAGTGTATGACTAGCATCAGGGAAAAGCCTGGTTGAAAAATCTGAAGGTATTATCTCATCCAATGCCAGGATTGAACTCTGATTTTATTCACTGAGGCAACTAGATTGAAAACAAAACGTGGCATATAATAATAAAAACTCACCTGAACACAATATCTAAATATTTATCATTATAGGCACGAACACAGGCAACACTGCTCTGAGCTGGGAATCGAGAAACAACAAAAGGTCTGGGATGAAACAGTGTCAGCAGTCGGTGGACAATAATACTTTCATTTGTCGTGACTTTAGGTGGATAGTATCTATTGCTTGATAACGCAGCATTAAACAGTCCTTTTTCAACATTGATAATGAAATAGGAACTTCCTAACATAATACTGTCTACATCTTTTGGCAAAAATCCAGAAAAATGAGATGCCCCAAAATTCATCCATTGCAAATTGACATTCTGCCATTTCTCCAGACCATGGAGAGAGTTCATGGTTCCTGGAAGCTGAAATAGACAAAGGAAATGAATATGTGATTTAGTATATAACAAGAAATAGAATGTCTCTTGTGTGTTCTTAATAATAAGCATTAATGTATATATAGTTTGCCTATCACTTCTTATCATTATGTGCCTGAGGACGACGGGGGAAACACGTCGAAACGTTGCATAAAACTTTAACCAGTGATTGTTGTTCCATAAAGCTATTTCTATATATCATACTCACAATTACTAAATGCCATTCAAAGACTTTAAGAAATTGAATGTTCTATTATTCTGAGGTAGTTCTAGAAGACCTGAGGTTTTCTCATACATATCATAATATTATCATATCTGCGCAATAATATGTGACAAGGTACGATATATTTAGTTTTCTATTATCATATTTACATTCTTTGAAATTCATTCCTCGACAGGCGACGGATGTTTACATGGTAACGACAGGCCGACGGATCTTGAAGAAACAATTGATTATTCCTATATTATGATTAAAGGACTTGTATGTCTTCAAAGTTTCTTTCAAAATTTCAATTTATATTAATGACTAAATTGGATTGGCTACTTATTTGTTAAAATCCACAATAAAGAAGTAATTGTTGCAGAAATTAAAGAAAGGAGAAGTATATCCATAATAGTGTTCTTATTTATTTCAACAAGTAATCTTATTCCAGAACGTCAGTCAAATGTCAATAAATATTTAAATTCTCATAAATGACAGCTGGATATATAACCTAAAACCTGTCTACTCTAAAAAATGAAAACATAATTTAATATTCTTACGAATTAAATAAATAAATAAGTAACTTTATGTCGATTTATCAAAAATATAATCTAAAATATATATTGCATATACACTCAATGTACAGCTCTTCACAGTTAATAAAATATATTAGGTCATGGTTTCTATTTGTTAACATATAAACTTATATGATTTATTTGTATAGTCTACTGTATTACTTAATCTCAATATTTGTCAATATACTAATGCAATAATCTGAGTATCAACTTTCAAATCTAAAACATTAAATATTGAATAAATACTGGTATATTCTAATAATGAAAGGCAAGGATTTTTTAAATTAATGGTGACTTGCAAATTTTGATTTCAAGGAAAAAACGCCAAAATTTTATTGAATTTTGTAGTTTACATGAGTACTATATTTAAATTGTGTAAGGGTACATCATGGGTTTAACCTTGAGACTCTAAAGCAGGATAATGAAAGCCTGAAGAAAATTTTGAAATATATAAGCCAAGTCAAGGGCAATAACTCTTGACTATTTCTTGCATCACCAAAAACCATTTTATTCATTACTAAGTAGGCCTATACTTACTGAATCATTGAGGTCTTTGGACATAGATTCTTTAACTATTGGTATGAAATATGATTTTAATGTGATCATCTCATCATCAGTTGATATAGGTACATCATATACAGGGCCGGATACCTACAAAATCAAGTTCAATTCAATTAATTAGAGTTTAACATGGTAATTTACTTTTCTGTTCCACTATCGACAAATGAAAACATAGCCAAGATTACAGTAAGAATGTTGATTCTTCTATTCCAGATATTTTACCGAAAGAAATGATAACATTTGAAAATTTTATTTTGAATATTTGTGAAAGGACAGTAAAAATACAAGTCTGAGCTCACTGTTGGTGATGGAGGTTAAACTTTAGCCTATTCATTTCTGACTTTAAAAATTGAGATTTTTTTATCACAATTCCTTACTTATAAATCTTCTCAAGTGATTAATAGTGACAAAATTGTTAGTAATTTTACAAATTTCTACTGTTTTTCTCTTTCCTTCTCTAATAAATGAATCGTGATAATTATCGCAATAAATCGTATCATTGAATGAGTATCGTATAGTGTATCAAATCTCAACTTGAAGAATCGTTGCAGCCCTAATGTTGGATTTTGAATGGCATTTCAAGCCCTACAACTCTCTTTCATATACTAGCTTCCTTTTTTTTCATCTAAAATGTATGAAATAGTTCACTTACATTAATTTCAAGTAATCTGTAAACCAATGGTTCAAATTCTTGAATGGATAAATAACCATCATTATCCCGATCATGTTGTTGAAACAATAGAACTCCATCATCTCCAATATTGATCACTATCTCTTCTGGTATCTGGGTTGGATCGTGTCTTCCAATGATAAATAAGCAGCATAGCAACGTGAAGAGCACCATGATTAGAAATATCAGAAGATAAAACCATTTTTGAGGAATTTCGAATATGATCAGCTTCTCTTCTTTGAAACCTGGCGGTATGACTCTTTGAGTTGTCTGTCCTTGTTGTAGATCTGGAACTTCATCTTGCGTTACTGGAGATTCCTCACTGGCAACGGTTGTTGTTGCATCTTCAGTGGTCGTGGATGCTCCATCTTCATCAGGAGCCTTTTTCTTCTTTCTATTTCTTACCTCTGCAGACATTTTGAAATGTTACTATCTCATTTCACAATATCCTGTTTGCTTAGCCATCTCAATACATTTCAACACACTTGTTGAGTTCTCTGCTACAACTTGTAAAAGCAGGTAAAGACAGGCTAGACTAGACCCACTAGACTGGGACGTGGAAGATATAAACGAATAGAAATTATTGATCAGAGCTAAAGTAAGAGAATATGTAAACTCAAACTGCTAGTGGGTTATACTAACAGTCACTTAACAATAAAGATAACATAACTTATTGTCCCTAGTAATAGATCCGGCTTGATCAACAAAGACAACCAAAGAGTTGAAAGGTCAAGGCCAAATAAGACGTGCGACCGAGCAGGTAGGCCGACTCGTTTTGGAATGCTGTATACTTTTGAACAGAATGAAATGTGGAAATGACAATTTGAAGTGTAGTGAACAGCTTGCATTAAGCTGCAAATTATTGCCTTTTTAAAGGAAATGATCTCAATATAACATTCATTTCACTAAAAAAAGTTTTTACTTCTAGGTTTATTTACTTCCGCTTTCGTTTTATTGATGGATACACTAAAAAAATATACCAAAAATTTGTGGAATTTTAAAAGAGATGCGAAAGATTTTGGTATTGTTATGATGTGAGTGTACAGGATGAAAAAAACTACCAGTATCTTCAGAAAACTATTGAAAAAACACAAAATATCTTAAGAGGAAGTTCTTTAATCTTAAGGTGTGTAAGTATCTTTTCAGTTTGAAAACAACAGAATATGTCCCCATTTGTTTACATGTATAAAGAATAATCTTTGCTCACCAAAGCAGGTTGTTATATTTACACTTGGTTAAGTTTCTGAACCAGATCCCTTGTGAAGGTATTGGTGTTGGCTTTCACCCCCTAATACCTAGTTAGGGATTAGGGTGATTGAAGACTAACAAGTTACTATTCAATATAAGGCACTGGCACAGGGTTAAAGTTATGTTTACAATAATTGTGATGCTAATATGCAATGAACTAAATCAAAGAAGATCATAACGGTTATCAGGGTAACTTGTCTGATATGGCATCTTAAGCCATGCCATTAACTCTCTCTGCATGAGCAGATTGAGGTTTCGGAACACTGAGCGCAGTCGAAGGGCTTGAGGTGTCAGGGGAGTTAGGGCTACCTCAATCAGGGACCCTACGGCAACAATTACAAAAATTATCTTTTGTGTCTCTTGAATTCCTTCAAATATATATAATCCATAGTCCCATGAGAAAACTGAGTATGGGGAGCAAGGAACGATCACATGTTCATTGGGGTGGGGGTTCTTGAAAACTCAATTGCCTGAGGGCCCAGAGTCTGTCCCAATACCCATATCAATGATATTTTGAATATTAGTAACCATGACTACAGGAGGTAAATATTTTATTTCAGTATCTAAATACAGTAGTGACATGATCTCAGGTTTAACAAGTTTTAAATTTTTAACTATTTTACAAGATTTCAGGCTTAAAACCCAAGCAACTGTAGGATACTTTGGATTTATGGGTTCATGGATGACCGATGGTGATCCAAGGCAGTTCCCTTAAAGCTGAATCTGTTGCTAGGCCATTAGGCCAGATTACGTTGACAACAGGACTGGACGATTAGGCCAGTGGTCAGTTTCAGCACCCAGTCTAAATCAAAAGATTCTAACCCATGAACACTTATTTCCCAAAGTATCCATCTAATTAAACCAAGCAAAATCATTAAGAAAATTGACGTATTAAAAATGAAATGACGTTACGTACAGAATATGCTAAATTTTGATTGGCAGAGATTCACGTCTGCTTAAGATTATAAATTTGATCATTTTTTTTTAATATACAATCTACAAAATATCAAAAAAAATCTTCATCAGGTCATTCTACATACAATAACTATAATATAGTGGTTAAACTACAAAAAAAAGGAAAACAAAAATATTGAGAAAAAAAAATATCTGGATCCTAAAAAGTCTAACTCTTGCATCAAAACACATTCTTATCTCTCCAGTTTTGTCGCACAATGGTTTCATTATGGCTCAAAGTGAATATGAAGCATTTTTTGCAAATTTGCAAGGATTATTAGCAATAAATAGAAGCAAAATATCTACCTATGTTAACAAATGGAATAGCTCATCAAGAGCAACGACCTTGACCTCTGTTCAAATTGCGGCAATGACAATCAAGCAAAGCTGATAAATATGCTACATTTTGATTGGATGATGGTTATGAGCCAAAATTAGATGAAAAAGGCTCCTAAAATTGAGTCACTCGTAATAAAAAAGATAGAATAGTCCCCAGGGCATCAGACTTGTACGAGATTGTAAAGCCATTCCGTGTCTGCAGCAAATGATAATTTTAGCGGGGAAATAAACTGAGCAGAAGTCAAGGAGCAATACTTAAACAAACATAATTGGAAGGAATATGTCCACTAAAATTACTAAGTACCATTCAGTGATTATATTCTTCTGATTAAACAAAACATAAAGGAACATCCTATTAATCAAGATTTGGGGTTTCATTACCATCTCGTTTTTTTTAGAACTATGTCAAATGTCCAGTTTCTTCGTCCATCTTTGGCAGTGTCTTTATGGTTTTTCAAGCAATAAATCAATTAATTAAATTATTAAACTGAACACAAAGTCAAACACCGAACAATGTTTCGAGACACTCTGATATGAATATTTAGTATGATAATTGAAAAGGTCACGTTCAAATCCAGAGAAATTTCAATTAATGACATGCTTCAATATCTGTCTACCAGAACCCAATGCTAAATCAATGAAAAATTTCAAATATCTACAAAAAAATACCTCTAATCTCATTGGATGCCAACGCCTATTTTGTTTGATATAAAATTGCAACAATCGCTTTTACTCTGTTCTAAGATTACCTCCGTGTAAAAACTAGCATTGATATGCTTTTTTAAAAAGTTTTCATCTTTAGTTTTTAATCGAATTCCATGTACATCAAAAACCGTATATTTATCATAAATATAAAAACTTTGTCCATTTTTTTATTAATAAACTCCACATCCATTGCATATGAAATTTTTCAAATCATTGGAAATGGAAGACAAAATGTCTCACAAAGTAATAAATTAAGATTACAAAAATAAATTTCTGTAAGCCACATTTCAAGATGGTGGCAAGAAAAGTGATCAACTACGTCAAGAAATCACTCAAAAACTAAAGAATCACTGTAACTTTTTACATCCGACCAAAATGGCCGACTAAAATTAATATATCAAAACGACACTCAAAACATCAACAAGAAAATATTGCTGTAAACTATTCCGCATCCAATAAAAAATTCGGAACATGCGTGTTTAACAAATGAAAAATTAAAAAACGCCAACATGTTATTTTTAAGGTCGACGCTTTCAACATGATGATTGAGAAGAACATAGGTACTGAGGCATGGTGCAGTCATTTTTACGGACAAACGTTAATAAAACTAGACACTTATATACTTTAAAACACTTTAATTTCACAACCAAATATGCCAAAATTTGACATTGACAATGTGAATTGAATAAACAACACATAAAATTTTGGCTTATTTGGTTGCCAATTCAAAACAATTATCAGTATTAATGTAGTCAACGCGAAGATTTTTAAATTTTGAAACAAAAGGGAAATGTGGATTATCTAGGTTCACAAGAAAACACCACTCAAATTATTAATAACTGAACTTTTTTTTTGTCCTTTCGTGATTAATGTGGATTATTATGACTCTTTTCACTAGATGATCTCCCTTGAAAAACGCACTCTTCACCACCTAGAAACCAAAAATAACACTGGTACACAGTTTTTTTTCTGAGAAATGACTTGGGAATGAGGCAGGACTAGTGGTAGCAATTTAAAAACAAGGACCACTAAGGTTGGAACATCTTCTAGTAGAAACCAAGACTGCTGTAAATGGTGTGGCGTTATGGACCTATCATGCCAACTATTTTGCTGTAGCACCAGCCTACATCCTTCCCCTGATGTCTCTGTTTACAAGTCACTCTCTCCATATAATGCCGTAGAGAAAGACATGTAGTCGAGGGCACCAGGTACCGCGTCCCGACCAGAGTAAGGCGCCATTCTTTGAATACAATACTCAGCTTGATCTGGTGGCAATTCCTGACGAAGAATTTGTGCTGTGATGAAGGGCTGAAAAAATGAATAAAAATGTTATCGAAACATTCAATAATAGAAAAAAAAGATCAAGAATTCATATATGGCTGGATTACTAAAATGAAATGAATGGAGTTTAACCTCCTACTCTTCTGCTAATTATGAAGATGGGCAAAGCCATGCAGTGTGCTATGAGGGAAATTTTGCCAGGACAGCGGCATTAGCCTACTTTTTTTACAATTTCCAACAGTTGAGGGATCTTACACGCACAGTCTGTAGCCATGTTTTGCAAATTAGCTTTACTCGAATCTTGAAAAATGAAATAAAATGAAACAGGAGTTTTTTGTCCCACTTTTCTGAAGCTGATTGGGCTCAAGACAACTGAAAATGGCAGACGGAAAGAACAAACTAATGACTGAGAACTGACCTTATCACCAGCCAATATTTTGAAGGAGTGCATGACTTGTTCAGCAGTATCTGTATCGGCCGTTTCTCTAGTCATGAAGTCAATAAAGGCCTCAAAGGTGATGTAACCAGTTCTGTTGGGGTCAACTATGGCCATAATTCTCTGGAAGTCTGCTTCACCCTGAAAATTAAACAAGAAATTTTAGTCCAATGCACTCTACTATTTGCACAGAGATAGGATATGATATTCAGATTGTTTAAGGGAATGTAACGCAGTGGGTAAGAGCGTTTGAATATTTACATCATTTGCTCCGTAACATTGAAGAAATGGTGGCTGTGGGTGCTAATCTTAGCTGGTGTATGAAAATCTGATGACTTAAACACATCAAATTTCCTCATTATTCAAATTAACCCAGATAGATTGGCGAAGTCTGCGAGTTCAGGATTTGGAATCAATTAAAAGTTAATTTCTTACCTGTTTGTCATCCCTGATATTATAACCAAGACTGACGAGACAAGCCTTGAATTCTTTCGGCTCCAATCGACTAGTCTTATTCTTATCAAAATGGCTGAAGGATAGTTTGAATTCGTTCATCTGCTGGGCGGAGATTCCCTTCGAGTCTCGTGTTAAGATCTGGTTCTCTAGTTCGTTAATATTTCTAGCTAAAGCCGTAAGAAGTTGCTCCCATCCGACTCGTAATGTCTGAAAATGAAATTAAAATATTTAGAATAATTGAAATGTTAAACATCCTACTTTTCTGTACCTCATTGGGCAAATGAAGGTTGGACAACACCATGCAGTGTGCAATGACCAAAATTATGCCAGGACAGCAGCATTAGCTTACTCTATTTAATTTCCAACGTTTATAGCCTGTAACACCAGGGCCTTGGTAATTTCCCATTTGAAAGATTTCCATGTCAGCCCATCCAACCTGAATCAAGGTTGAACGAAAATTCAAATTCGACCTATACAGGAACTGAATCCTGGACCATCCGGTTAGCAAACAGAGTGCATTGAGGAGACTTTTCCTTGGAGATCGACACAAATATTCCAATTAAAGATACCATGGTAACAGTGTTACACAGGGTGTATGACACAGGGCCTCTGATTATTGTACTGTTTGGATAACTAGAAATGTCATTTACATTTAGTGTTACAGTGAAATCAATAGTGCAATGAAAATAAACTGCCTACCTCCATGGTGTATTGTGTATATCTGTTTTCAAATATCATAGATTCTTGTACTTCCTGAAAACATTCACAAAATTTTACAGTTAAAGATATATACAGTTATAGGTATACAGTTAAAAGATAGTCTGAAACAGTCATGTAGGGAAAGCAATGTCATGTACAGCCAACAACCTAGTCTGTGAACACAAAGCTATAATCTTAACAGTCTTTCTGTCGAGGGTTTGTTTGGCTGTATTTGCTAGTGTACAATCCAATCAAATCGCTGCATTCTGTGATACAAGAAAGGTGGCTATTGCAGTCAAGGTGTAAGAAGAAGTTCATAAAAGCTTGATATTGTGAAGATACTTTGTCCCTTACCTGATTAATTCTTTCCAGTTCTTCCATATGAGGCCTAAATCCATGACATTCCTTCTCAACATGTTGAATTTCATTCAGATGGTCTTCCAGAGAGCCTTTCATATGAACACCGATGGCGGCAACGAAGTCAAGACGTTTTTCAATCCATTCTCCGACGCTGTTAGCTTTATTAGCGAACTGTCTTCGTAAGGTCTCGTTCTTCTGTTGTCTCATCATTTCTTGTTGTAATGTCTGGTCTCGTTTTGGTACCAACTCTTGCACTTCTCTCCATTTGTTTGCAATATCCTGAAAGCAAATTAAAATGGTCATAGATCCAAATCAAATTGATGCAAAAGGAAAAATATAAGTAAATTCACACAAATGTTTTATATCTTTTAGCTGAAATTTCTTACCCAACAGAATTTCTAATAAAATAATGGGCTTTATTGTTAAATTGGGTATTATTAAAAATTCTAAATATTTTTCCTCTCCAGTTTGGGCAATGTGAAATGAGGGAAATTTTGTCAGGACAGCAGCATTAGACTCTAGCAACCACCATCTTAATTTAAATATTGTTATGACAGCAAGGCCAGTAGTCTTGAAAAATCCTTGGTTTTGCTAGTAAAATAGAGCTAGAAAATCAGGTAGTTTCTATTGTATCAGACCATACTTAAAGTTGATTCCAAAAGGCAGCATGTACAAAAGGAACTACTGTGAACTGAAATATTCTAGTTTACAACAAAAAACATATAAAACAAATGATCAAAAGTTACAATAACACACATATTTACAGATATGTAAATAAAAACAAGGACAACTTTGAAGGATGAAAAATACAAAATGTAAAATGATAATAAAGCATCATTTAGACTGAAAATGGACGAAAAACTATGTAAATGACACCATGAAAAAAACAAACTTTGAAATAAAAAAATGAAGATTGTATCTTACATGTAAATCGTTTATTTTTAGACTAGCGCATCCACATGCATGGCAAATACACATAATATATTCATAGTCGGCCATGTTGGATTGTAAACAGTTATAGAAGTTAATATTAATATAACATGCAGTTAGACCGATCTATATGCCAGTCAATTTCAATGTTAATTTTAGTTCGTTAATTACTAGTATATATCAATCACATTAAAGAGACCAAGGGCCATTTTTCTTGAAAATTATCTAAGATATGATCTATCCAGGTTTTAAGAAATACAGTAATCTGATTGGATAATTAAACTAAATTTAGAATTAAGTTTAGAGATTGACCAATCAGAAGACTGGAATACAAAAATCATTTTATGTTTAGTCTTTGAGAATTAAGCCCTTGTTATTAATTTTATTATGAAATATATATCTTCCTACTGTTCTCAATCTAAGAACTTTGAGTTTATTTCCTATCTTTCTGCAATTGAAATGGAATTTCATATTTTAACCTTTTTTGAAAAATGAAATGGAACAAATTTTGTTTTTGGTTAATGGAGCTTGTTATGCAATGCATTTGGATTCTGTACGTGTCTCTTTAAAATCACATGTTTTAACTAACCCCCAAGGCAATAAGACTGATTGGAAATGATTGATTAAATTATGATTAAGATAAAAAGATTTTCACAAGTTTATTTTAAGCCCTAATGTTAAACAAATATTCTAGTACGTTCCCTCAAGCTCAGATGTCCTTTTTTCATAAAATTTAAATTTTGTTTTCCCTTCAGATATCTATTGAAATGACATAACAACAAAACAAAACAAAGGGGTTGATATATTGTCTTGAATGTCATGAATATTAACTACTAGGCTTCTCAAATATATTGGAGTTTTACATCCTAATCGCAACCTCATACATCGTAAATGAAATCCTTTTCAAGAAATAAACCAAAAGGATTACTTGTGTTATACTTCAAACTATATCAAGTACAAACAATTTTGGTTGCTATTCACCAATTATTATTTTATTAGTAAAAGTTAGAGTATAAAATTAAAAACAGAACCATGCAAAATTGTAATAAAGATTCATCCACAACACAATATTCTACTTAGTGATACATTGTGATATTTCTATTAGTACTAATAATACCAGTAAATATAACTAGCAACAGGTCATAGACTAAAACATACATCAGAGCTGTTATTTTAATACTTTTATAGCCAGATTGTCACAAAGTTTTCAACTTTCTTATTTTTTTTTTTTGTCATGAATATGTAGAAAGTTACAAATGGCATTGAGAATAAGTCACCTTGTTGATAAGTTTACAACCAATGAAGGGAGTCTTATGTCAGTCTTCTCTGTACCATGTGGACTAATGAAGACAGGCAACAGCATAAAGTTTGTAATGAGAGAAATTTTGACAGCAGCATTAGCCTCCTTCTCCTTTTTGACTGTTTAAAATTAACTAGCTCATGACCATAGGCCATTGCCTTTTTCAACATTTTCAGACATGACTGGCAAATACATTTAAAACAACAGCCCTGATTAAGAAATAAAATAATAAAGTGATATGTTAGACACTGGCTAGAATTCTACCATACTAACCTCCTAAACACAGCAAACCATGGAAATTATAATCAGAATTATACATTAGTTTAAAATCACACTGGATAAAATCACTCAAACACTCTAGTAGCTTAGTATGATTGTGAAATTTTTTTATTAAAGTCAGCATCAAACTTGGATATGAAAGCAAGAAATGAGATGAAATTTCAATATCTTTTCTGATCAAAGCAGAAATTGAGTTTTTTGTCATACTTTTGTGTATCTAATTGGGTCACAGCAAGAGAGACATCCATTCATATTGAAGATGGATAACAGTATAGGTTCTTATGGTCCTGTCTGATCTTTCCCAAATTATGAGTACCCATTTACAGCTGGGTTGACTGGAATAATGAGGAAAGATGACTTATTCAGTACCCATTTACAGCTGGGTTGACTGGAATAATGAGGAAAGATGACTTATTCAGTACCCATTTACAGCTGGGTTGACTGGAATAATGAGGAAAGATGACTTATTCAGTACCCATTTACAGCTGGGTTGACTGGAATAATGAGGAAAGATGACTTATTCAGTACCCATTTACAGCTGGGTAGAATGGAATAATGAGGAAAGATGACTTATTCAGTACCCATTTACAGCTGGGTTGACTGGAATAATGAGGAAAGATGACTTATTCAGTACCCATTTACAGCTGGGTTGACTGGAATAATGAGGAAAGATGACTTATTCAGTACCCATTTACAGCTGGGTTGACTGGAGTAATGAGGAAAGATGACTTATTCAGTCCCCATTTACAGCTGGGTTGACTGGAATAATGAGGAAAGATGACTTATTCAGTACCCATATACAGCTGGGTTGACTGGAATAATGAGGAAAGATGACTTATTCAGTACCCATTTACAGCTGGGTTGACTGGAATAATGAGGAAAGATGACTTATTCAGTACCCATTTACAGCTGGGTTGACTGGAATAATGAGGAAAGATGACTTATTCAGTACCCATATACAGCTGGGTTGACTGGAATAATGAGGAAAGATGACTTATTCAGTACCCATATACAGCTGGGTTGACTGGAATAATGAGGAAAGATGACTTATAAAAGCTCACAAGATCTTTAATCGCTGACCGAGATTAGAACCCATCAATACATTTCCACTACCTTTGATTCTAATGGTTTAATAACAGTCCCTCTTGAATAATTTTAGATCCATACCACCACATGACTGTGGGGGATGTTACTGGCAATTATGGGCAAGCTCACCTCCTCAAAGACCTCAAATAAATAGAATTACTCGTAAAATTATAATTTGACAATCAAACTAAGCTACTTGAATTAACTCTGAATGTCATGGAGTATGGAATCAAAATAAAACATTTCAAAATGATGAATGATTGAAAATTGCATAAAAATTGTTAATGGCTGATGGAACAAGACAACAAAAAAAGCATGCGATTTCTTGTTATTTACTAGCTCTTTCCAGTAGTGAAACTATAAATATTCTGATGCTTGAAGCACTATAAATCTAATAATGCTTATTCCACCCCAAACATAAAGCTGTGTACAAATTTTCAAATAGAAATAGTAAGAAACTTACACCAATTACAATAAGGTAAAAATTTCAATTCTTTTTCAATTCTGTTTTAAGTTCACACAATTCAAGATATTTTTTTTCATTTTGTCATTAATTTTGGAAAATTTTCAAAATACTTTCATTTTCTCCATGTCAAATTTGTTAATAATAATCAAAAGATTTTGATAATAGGATTGGTGTAAGATCCATTATATAATATAAACAAGCAAATTCAAAACCCTTCTCCTAATAAAAAATTCAATAAAAAAAAGATGTAAAAATAAAATGAAAGTAGAGAAGGGTACGTACCTGGGCGTGTAAAGTGGTGTAAGGATTGTCTGGGGGGGTCATATTATATTGCTGGGCTAAACGTTGGACGTCCTGTACTAGGGTAATAATAGTAGTATATTCCTTATCAGCCTCACCCAGAGTTGATTTAAATGTGTCGTGGGCTGAGATCAAACCCTGAAATTATAAATAACAATTGAAATGAAATGGACAAAAAAACGAGACAAATTTGTCAGAGCCTGTAGCACACCGGACTTGAATTTACTTTCCAAACAAATGCATAATCAATGTTCAATGTCAGCCCCTCAAACCTTCATCACTGACACAGTAAAAACGGTAAGCAAGCATCTAACTCACTGGGCAACTGCAGCTCCCTGCTTGAGGAAGGCAGATGTCTACCAATAAAAAATCTACAATGGAAATAAACATACCTGGACTTCTTCTGTAGTATGAACAATAAACATATCCAATAGATCTTCTTTAGCTCCATCCATCCAGTTGTTGAATGGCTGAAAAATTTGTAATAAAATTCTTTAAAACCCGAGATGGTATTGACTTTAAAGAGAAGTATCACCTACTACTAATACTTGTTGATTGTTGAAACATTGCGTACAATAAAACAGGAGTTATCTAATCATCATAAATATCTGTAGAAATTATTTCAGGAATTTAAATAATTCAAAAAGACTTACTGCTGCTCTCTTGGCAAATTCAAGATGGAGATGATCAATTCTTTCTAAGATCTTCTCAGCTTCCTGCAATCGAACAAAATTAAATATTATTATCATTTATGTCTTTTATATTGCTGATGACATATTACTGAGTTTCCTCATTCCAAAAGTCACATAAAACTACTCCTGACACTTGGGGAGCAACTCAAGGTCTTGGAATGCAAAATATTTCAGAAACCTCTCTTTTTTACTCTTTAAACTCCAAGGAAGTGAGTGTCTTAATTTTCTTTAAAGTCAGCAGACCTCGCCACAGACTGGTAAACCCTCACAATCTCCATGTCAAAGCTTCTCCGCTCGTGTACCAAGCATCAGAGAGTATTGAGTAGATATTATGTCTCATCAATACCAATCTCCAGACATTGAGATGCTATAAGATTTTAACCCAAAGCACCTAATTACAGGTGTTACAGAAGTTAGAGTCTTCAATTAAAAGTGAGAAATTTTGAAAAGGATTTGAACCCACAGTACCTAAAGAAAAATAATGATAATATAGCAAAACTTACTTCAAGACCTTCTCGTCTTCTCTGTGTTGATTGACCTAATCTATCCCATTGATCACAGATTGTCTGGAAATATAAACAATGTTATCAGAAAATGACTTGGGAAGTATATATCTCTTGTTTTCATAACATAAAGACATACCAATATTCTATAAATCACGATAGAATAGATACGATATGATAGTTTAATGGACATATCGTGTTATAAAGAGATTCTATTCTTTAATCATGGCACCTGTTTAGTCTAACTGATGAATATATAAACTTGGGGCCTGTAAAACAGACTATTTATTTTGTATGGCCTTATTGACCAAGTTTGAGACGTTTAACATTTATGTTCATTCTAAGAGGTAGTATTCCTTTAAAACCCGTTAAATAATCATCACACCTACCTGACATCTTGTGTTAACCCTATTAACATCATGGTAATCTAGGGCACTGAAATAAAAAGGGTTAAAATTAATGAATATCAAGGAGTATTACAGATTACCAGTATAATTTACACTTGTTTTAAAAGGGTTAAGGGTATATTATGTTTTATTAAATCTGCACTCAGTGTTCAAAGGGTTAAGGGTATATGATGTTTCTATTTCATTGCATTGACACTCACTGTTGAAAGGGTTAAGAAACCTAGTCTAAATAAACTTACTTCAATTCTTGGGCAATGGCTGCAATTTGCTCAACACGATCTTGATGGGCAGCTAAATCACTCTCGAAAGCTTCATGTTTCTTTTTCATAGCTTTTAATTCATTTAATCTACATTTCTTAAAATCTCTGCTTTCTAACATCTCTTCCTTTCCAACGGCCCATTCCTCATGAATTTCACATTTATGACGGAATTTCTGGGCCAAATGGTCGAGTCTTTCAAGTCTGCAAAAAAACAGATAATATTATTAATTACAAATGGCTATTTCAGTACCTCCTTCATGGACAAAGTCTTTAACGTCTGCAAGATTTTAGCCTTTCTGCAAATTATAAACAATTGAGATCTGAATTTGATGCCCTTGAAACCATAATTTTCCCAACCTCAACCCTAAATGTATAGATTAATGCAAATCTTTAAAGCCACTTTCAAAACTGAGTATACTGTACATCAATGCTGAGTATCCTAATGATTCACCAACTTTTAGCTACACACAGCATTAGGTTAAGTTATATAAAAATATAAACAAGCGAAACAATTCCAGTTACCAAAAATCTCATTCAAAACATGACAAAATTTGGAGTAACAATTGTAAAGTAGTGGACTCCTAAAACGAGAAGTGCCATCCGGTGTTTTCTTATTTTTGAGCTAAATCTTAATGTAAAACATTACCTTTGAAGTTCTGATAGAAGCCATTCTTCAAAACCCTTTTCAGCTGATTCCAAGCCTTTCCATGCATCAGCAATATCCTAGAAAAACGAACGAAATAAGGTTTAGGTACCCCATGAAACTGAAGGCAAAATTATAAACTGAGCTATTCCACTGCCACAGAGAGAAGAAAGTAGTGATTTTCACACATGCAAAAGTTGTTAAATCCCCTGTGTTATTTCTTTTGTTGCTGAATCAAATGTTAAAATGGAAATAATATCCGATTTTACTTACCGAAACCAATTTTCCTTCCGTTGGTATGTAAGCAGGTCTGTTACTAAGTCGTAGTCTAGTTTGTAAGGTATTAAAATTATTTTCTAATTTAGCTTTATCTTCCAACTTGGGTGGTTTATGTTTTCGTCTATAATCGCGAAATTCTTCTAGTTTATGTTGTGTTCCTGGAAGGGTGTTGTCTGTTACACGATTTTCTAGCCATGGCTTGGTTTTCTTGATCCAGGCTAAAAGCTGAAATAGGGGAAAAAGGTGGCTTTAGTAATAAATAAATTATTGAAATACCAAAATCAGTAACAAAAATTTTATGAAACGTTTTTTTTGTGCCATATTTTTCTTCAACTGATTGGGCTAATAATAAAGGATAAAACCTATCAAGAAAGCTTGTTAAATAATAAAAGCTACGTATCTAAATGAGTCTACTTACATCACTAGCGAGCTTTTCATATTCTTCCATCAATCTCTCGTTTTCTTGATTAATTTTCAGAACTTTACAGATTCTATTAGCTGCTGTTTCAGCCTGAAAAATTTTGGGGAAAAATTAAAGAGAAAATAACATTTTGACAGCCTGCAACAATCCAGTATTTTTTTGGGCCATGCCTCCCCCCCCCCCCTCTCAGGCCTGTGAATGTCTTATTTTGAAGTGAAAATTAAGCTTTCCAAATGCTCACAATTCATCTCAGGCCATTTGAAACCCTCAGGGCTTTAGTCCTCATCTCGGAGAGGCCTCTCTTTTTTACCATTTAACCTAAATTCTAGAATATTACAGCAGATCCCAAAATGTATTTCAAATATAAAACATTACCTGCTGAGCTCCTGAGAAGGCATGATAATACGATGATACGTAGGCCATAACTGATCTCTCATCAGGCTTGGCAGAGTTCACCATATCTATAAGGGAAAAAATGAAATGAATGCAGTTTATCGTCCTTCTTTTCTGCACCTTATGGAACTAATGAAGAAAGTAAAATTGTCCTCTGTAAAAACAAATTTTGAAGACATAATGTGTGCTTATGTTTATATTTTTATCAAGACAAAAACATTTTAAGACTAAAAGTACTATTTTGAGGCTGCTATTCCAATTCTCATAAAAATAATAGAAAAAATTCAAAGAACTTTTTACTTTGCTAAGACAAAAGATGTTAATAAATGAATACAAACCTTCAGGGTCTAACATTCTTGGGATATCCAGATATTTCTCAGCAATATCAAAGGCTGTGTTCAAATTCTCTAATGGATTCTCCTACAAAAAAATGGTTTTGCTCATAAGAAGTTGCCTGGATTGTAGATTTTGTTTGATTCATGAGACATACAGTAAATGATATTGAAGTTGGTAGAAGGAAATCTTTACAATGTCTTCTGGAATTCAGTTAGTTCAAAAGAGAAATGATCCTCCATTGGATAGATTGGTAAATTATCAATATACACCATTAAAATTTCATTACTTTTTTCTTTTTTAGGTTCTTCGAAACTAAATGTACCTATTTGATCTTTGGTTTGACAAAGCATTTAGAAAGAACTTACACAAATTTGAGCTCGGTTTTTTCAAAGTAAAATATTTATCTTACATATCAGAACATTGTAAAGATTATACAAAAACTAAATTTGATCAACTATGTTTGATCTAGCAGCCGTACAGTGAACATCTAATAGGTATTCCTACATTTCACTCAATACTGGAATTTGGCATAGGGTAGACATTACATAGACTTTCAGGCTATTTCAGAACACGGCTCATCACCTATTTGGGTAGCCTATGCAGCAAATCTTTATAAAGGTTCAAATCTACATGTATTTCATCTTTCTGAGCACTACGAACAATAACCCAAGACAAAACCAATATCTTCTCTTCCAAATGGGAAGGAAAAAATATATTTAAATTGGTATTTAGAAATTCTACGTTGCTTCATTCCCATCTAAAGACTGGGAAAGCCATTCCTCTATAAATCTAAAACTAGGAGGTTTTCTAATACATTTGTCAGTCAACTATATTTATGCAAATTCCAGAGTTTAAAGGTTAAACTGATTGTCACATCCAATGCCACTGGGTTATCAAATCCCTCACTCCGGTCTCACACAGTTTATAATGGCTTCAGTGCATAAATATGGTTGACCAACTTTAACTTATCAGTTCTAAACTAGTACTGAAATCTGATTTTAAAACTACATGCCAAGAAGCTACGTCTAAATTCTACGTCATTATTGGGATGCTAAGCATGCTGGTATAAAAGGCCATGCCAAAATATCACTACAAGGAAAAAGTAATTCAAGAAATATGATTGGTCAAAATGTTTGTCCATCATATTTTTTGAAATTTCCAAGAAAATGTATCATTCTATTATGTTTATTAATGTTATGAATCAAAAATGAAGTCGAAAATCTGATGGAATTAAAAAAAGGCTCTTTTTTGTCCATTTGCCTTATATTTGTATGGACCCATGAAAAATCTAATAGTATTGCTTGGAAAATCTGAAGCACAACTGTTTCTGGTATAGCTTCTAAAAAATATTAGCTTCTGGTCTTTCATCAAACGAGAAATTGAGCCTTGTCAAACCCCAAAAATTCAAATTATTCCCAAAAACGTGAAGAAAATGTGGATCTATGAAAATTTCCTAAATATTAAACTATCATAAAAACCTATCACCAACCAAAATATTATATTTATAGATAAAAGAAAAATATAATAAAAATAAAATCAAAGATAATAAGGGATCAGCAGATAACCATGCTTTTAAAAATAATTATCGTCAATCAGTTTCAAATTTTGCACAACACGTTTTATCTTTTGATTCTAGACCTTATATAAAGAGGTAACTTTTGAAGAAATGTTTTGACCTTTCCTGTTTTAAACTAACTACTGTATGAATTTGGATCCATAGAATTTGCACAGTGAATTAAACTTTTTTTTAAAGAATCAATTCAGTGGCAAGTCAATTTAAAAAGAGAACAGGTACTGTATACTTCTGAATATAATGCTCATGTAAAATTCTTAGCTAATTTCAAAACTGGAACCAATATGCCTCACTTGATGACAAATTCAATCAGAAATGGTGAAACTGGCTGACGATAATTATCAGAGTTTGTTTTAAGTTTAGCATCATGCCTATAAATATATTTTATACCGTTTAAACTGTGTTCTTGATTTGTTAAAATCGACTCTTCCTTAATTACCACATTATTTAGATACATTTCAATAAATTTTAGTTGTGTTTCTGTTTAAATCATGTTTCAACGTGAAATACATCAGTGAAACCAAATTTAGTTTTACTAAAAATCAAAACCTCCTTAATCACAGAATTATATAATAATTTTATATTAATCATTCAGATAGTCTTAGCAAACCAGAAGACTGCGGAATTCAGTCTCGTATCCTGCTGGTTGAGATTTCTTAGTCTGACAATTTCAATGAAGATTTGAATAAATAAACCAAGTACTAATGATCTGAACCGCAAAATGAAACCAAAACGTGTTGGGGAATAAGTCGGTTATCAGCTTGGCAAAGTTGTCTACTGTTAACACAAATCTATTTGTATAATTCGAATTTGATTTTGATAACTAAACGCGAGGTAGTTCTCTTGATTTGTCCATGAAAGACAGTCATATGATAGTTTTGTGACGTGTATAAGCTCACCTTGGATAGTTTATGGTAGTCTATAAGATCTGGGCGATGCCTATGAATCAAGGCACAGAAAGCTAACCCATCTTTAAAGCTGTAGAGAGAGAAAGACTATCAACACATGCAAAAGAAGAGAATTAATCATCTACAGAACAAAATGGCTGCTGGATCTCTTTGATCTTTTTACCGGAAACATTTCTGATTTACTTTTCTCTTATATATCAAGAGATATTTGTCTGTGCGCAAACTAGAGAGAAGTTTTTCACCAGTTTCAAAAGTTTTATTTCTTCATATTTAACTTGTGCTTTTTGATTTCAACACCTTATAAATTTGAATTTTGAACATGAACTTTTCCAAAAGTTTTGTCCATTTCTGATGTCACAGAATATTTATTCCTGTGGCATGAAATAAGGATTTTCAAGGTTAAAGTGACCTCAAATTTGAATTTAACACATATGCTTGGACCAAAAAAAACAACAACACAGATTTCAGAAAGTTTCAGATAGTACAGAAGCAAAGAAATCCATTAAAAAATTAAAATAAAAATAAAACAAAAGATAGTAGTAATGTTAAATTAGGCGGGAATCTTGTGCACCAGAAACACAAGATGGCAGTAAAGATGGTTACCCTTGACAACTTGTAATAGTCTAATAATTCTGGACGATGCCTGTGGATCAAGGCACAGAATGCTAAACCATCCTTCCAGCTGAAAAATGTCATTTTAGGTTACAATTTCATAAATTATAGATAATAAGGCAGAAAAGCCTAAGAAAGATCACTGGTCTAATCTGACATTAGTCAGAATACTTCTTTTGAAAAAAAGTCATGTCAAGATAACTTAAAGACAAGATGAGTGCCGAGTTCCAAACGGACATTTGTGGACCATGGCAAAATACGAAAATGTTTTATTTGGTTAAAATTTTCAATCAACACAATATTACGAGTAAAGTGCGTTAATCATCTCACTTTTTCAGCCAGTTCAGAAAATGAAACGAAATATATGGAGTTTTACATCCTACTTTTCTGCACCATGTGATCTAATGAAGACGGGCAACGCCATGCAGGGTGCAATGAGGGAAATTTTGCCAGGACAGCGGCATTAGCCTGCTCTTTTTCGATTTCCAACTGTCGAGGGATCTTTTCAGCCAGTTCAGAGTCAGCTCCTCTTACTTAAACACTGACAGAGGGAGACCAAGTTTTATCAAATAAATTCTTCTGATAAAGCAAATAAAAGTGTAATTTATAAATATTCAAGGATAAAAAATATCCTCAAAATCCAAACCATGTTGTCTACCTTACCTGAGATGGAAATTTTGTACGTTAACATTTTTATATGGAGCTGTTTTTCTTTGACACCATAGTAACAAACCCTCTTTGGCTGTTAATTCTGAAAAAACAAGACCACATCAAATTATTAGATTATGTAAAGTACACTTACAGACGTAAATTGATCAGTGATAAAGAAAGAACTCTTTTTTAAAAGGAAAACCAAGTGTTTATGAGAATCCTTTCTACAAGCTGGTCCATGGCGAAACCTCTTGGTATTTAACTCTCCTGGATTATCTATACCCATTTACAATAAGTAAAGGTATCAGAAACCATGATCATTTGTTCATCGAAAAAAGCTTTAAAAGTTGAAAAAAAAAAAAATGGGATAGAGATTCATTTGCTCAAACTGTGACTTAAACATTTGATATACAGAATGAGCAATAACCAATAAGCTTCTTCAGCAAAGTATTCAAAGGAACCAAAACGTGAAAAAAAAAAAAGTTCCTACCTTCTACTGTAATATCTTGAATAGCAAATCTTAGAATAATAGTCCAGATCATACCTAAAGTCATTTTTACGTTACCATCTACAATTTCTACAAAATAGAATATATAACAGGAATTAATCAAAAATATACAGTATCACTAATCTTACTGCAAAAATGGGATTGTGAGAGGTTCTAAAATAACAGTTTTGAGCTGCTAATATCACAAAGATCCTTAGTTACCATTGTACCTTTGTAATAGGGGCATCAGAAACCCTTAGTTACAAGATAACAACTTGATGAATATTTCTATTAGCTGGTACTTGGACAAACTCTTAAGTAATGGTCTTGACTATGAGTAAATCTACCCATTTTCAACTGGTTAAATTAAATATGGTCCCTACTGAACTACCTAACTTGTCCCAACGTCAGTAGGGACGCAGGTTGATATAGGTCAGTTGTCTGAAGATCGCCTAGTGTGAAACTCTGAGTAACAACATGCTTTTATTTGTAATGTTGTGTTATAATATTTCTAAAACTAATCTATATATTATGTTGTATACTGGAAAATATTTTTTGTAACATGTATGTATGCTTTATCATTATCAAGAATAGAAACTTTTCATCTTGTCTTCAAACTATTGCAGGGTAGATTGTATTACATGTTTCAGGTACTTTCTTTATCTATACTATATGGAACTAGGCCAAATAATTACTGTTTCTTACAAGACAATTATTATTCAGTTTAAATTATCATTCTTCCAGCAAAATAAAATAAATGTTTGAGTATCACATACTGTGTTTCAGCAATATTTTGGGAGATTTTAAATTAATGGAGTTTTACATCCTGTTCTCATCGATTTTACACAAATAATTTCTTATTACAATACAAATACATCGAGAGGTTGCGCAGGATAAATTAGGTTTAACCAGTGGAATAGCTAAGTCGGTAGAAAGTTGGATTGTCATCTGCTAGGTGACTAGGTGCCGTGGGTTTGAATCCTACAAAAGGTTAGATAGATTCTGATGCCACGAATATTGACTGTCAAACACCTAGCTATGAGATTAGGTCCACCAAAAGGATAAGCAAGACAAGAGCTTGTATCAGATCTTGTAGAGAATGTATTGAATAAGAATGCAGCTAGAGTCTAGTTGATATAAAACCTTATAATTATAGCTTGTGAAACAATATCTGATTTTATCAGAGAAAGGTTATCAAGACAAGGGAGATAATTTGTAATGCCAAGGGCAAACAGTCTACAGCGCCTCTTGTTAGAGAAAAAACATTATCATGATAACGTAAGTGGTTGATATCCTACTGAGACTATTACAAATTCCTCTCCCCTCATTCATCTACAGGTATAACACAATCTGTTAACTGGTCCTGTTCACTGATTTCGTTTCCACCTAAAAATACTTGGTTTTCTTAACTTTTTATGTGTATCAGAGACTCTGATACCATCTATTCTCATCATTGATTCATTATGGCTTATTGAATAATTTCTTAACTTTCTATGTGTATCAGGGATATTGATAGCAGTAATTTGCACCATTTCATTTTCAGTCCCAATGCTTGTGGGTCTTCAATGGTAAAGAGAAATATATTTCTTTGCAGGTTCAAGTATTGTATTGGCAAATTTTACTGTTGCGAAAATTTGAAATTCATCCAAATAGTGTCTAGTTTTACAAGATTTACACCATGTCAAACATTTAGAACTTAGTATTGTATTGTCTGGCAAAAATCTTGCCTAATCATCAACCCTGATGAAATACCTCCACAGACAGCTTTTTCTAAGACATATTAAACTTGAATTAGTTCAAAATATTTTTATGAGCCTTCAATATGTGACCGATTAAGAGGACTGTTAAATTTATGATTTACCACAAATATTAAGAAGTATTTGTCAAGTGATATTATAAGTAGATAGGACTATTAACTTTAACTTAGTATTTATATTCTATATTTAATACTTCTCATAAACTAGATTGACTATTGATTCATATCATGTATAGCACAGGGTAGATTTCAATTTTTCTACTGTCTACCAGCTGATCCTTGGCAAAACCTCTTTGACTCGATCTTTTCCTTATTATTCATACCCATTTACAGCTGAGTCGACTGGAATAATCAGATGCTTGAGATTATAACCCACGACCATCATTGTTTCACTGAACCAAGCAAATAAGGTTATGTATAGTATTCAACTCTCTAACAGACTGAGCTATAGAGATCTTCAAAAGTACTACAAAGTAACAAATAAAATTCAAACCTACCTTCAGCACCTATGGATACAAGTTTCACACCTTTACTGGCGATATAATCTAAAGCTTTATTTACATTGGCTATTTTATGGAACCTCATTTTGCCTCGGTCAGGTTTGGGTAGCTGTTCTCCAGATATTACTTCTAATAACAACATCAGTTTCAGACCATGTCGAAAGTCTTCTTCTATATTTTCTATGGATGTTCCAGCTTTTCTTAAATGTGAATTGCACCATGCTGTAAATGTCTGAAATCAAAAAGAGCAAACAATCAATATTTTGATAAGATATGAAATGGAGTTAATAATCCTACTTTTACCCTTCTCCACAAGTTTGGGCTAATGAAGATAGACAATGCCATACAAGAGGGAAAGAAACTTTACCTGGACAGCGGCATTAGCTTAGTCTTTTAGATTCCTACTGATGGATCTTTAACGCCTACAGTCTGTTGTACACAGGGCTTTGTTTGACAAGGCTTGACAAAAGGACAAGTGGTCAAAATGAAATGAGTTTTACAAACTACTTTTCTGCGTCTGATTGGGCTAATGAAGACAGGCGTTGCCATACTGTGAGCAATCAGGGACATTTTGCCAGGACATTGGCATTAGTCAACTCTTTTTCATTTCTAACTGTTGAGGAAGACTTAAGGTGCACTGTCCGTTAAATACCGGTGCTACTAGTTTAGAGGTAGGAGGAGAGAGCATTCACGAATACATTTCATCAGGCTTTTTTGGAAGCCAATAATTGTTTCCACAATAAAATCAAAGACTAGAAAGTGAAGTTTCTTAATAACTAAAGTGATAGCTAATATTTGTTCAATGGAACCGAAGACTTGTTAGTGCAGTGTCAGCAATAGTTGGATTGTCATAATACATGTCCATTGAATATGTTAATGTTAATATCAAATAAACTTTTATTGGATATATAAAGCCTGATTGAAATTTTGAAAAGTTTACACCTTTCATTCATATGTTTGTATTATCTTCTTTTACGTTCCTGTCTTTTATGAGTATGTCTGTATAAAGTCACTATACATGTAAAGAGAAAGCTTTGATAAGATTTGAGTCTATTGAGCATGTGCAGTGAAGGATGCATGTGCATATTGTAATTGTCAATCATAATAACATGTGTATAATGACAGTTTTATAACTTGACCTACTTAAATTACTACTTTAAATGACAAGAACACAATTTATATGGTATATTACTATACTACTCGGGGACTCCAGCGTCTTAATGTAGAAAATATTTCAAGTTTTACTGATTAACATGATCTTTGCTTATTTTCATGAATTTTAAACTTATACATCCTACTGTCCTGTGCCTGTGCTTTCATAATATTGTTTTCAATGCCATATTACAACCATTATGCTCTAAATGTCATTTAAAAGGATTGTGAAAAGAATGTTTTCATGTGTATTAAGGACACAAATAGAATTGTTTTCCACTATTTGACTTTTCTGTCAAATATCTGTGGTTCTTGCAATTCCTCTTAAACAAGGAGTCTTTGTAACAGTGATAAAACATGTAGTTTCCGTAGAATAGCAATCTCCACTTTACAATCCCATTAAAGATCAATTCACTTCTTGTATTGATAGCTCAAGGTTTGAAAGAATAATTTTCATTTGTTCTAATCAAGAAATCTTCAGCATATTAACCTAATATACATGTATATAATCACAAGACCTCACTTTGTTATACAAATGTTTTTAAGTTAATCTAACACTTGTTAGTTGTTAGATAATATTATGCATTCAAGTTATGAACATAACTGTTTTTTCAACATCAAATTCAAATTTTAATGGGTCAGAGTACATATATAATAAATAATTCATAGACGGTTTGTCAAGCGTGAAGTGAACGTCTTACTAGTCTTCTCTAACCATTAGTCTACTTATAGGATTATATCTCTAGTATATATAATAGTTAACACAAATAACTTAGTAGGTTTAATACAAAATTCAAGAAAAATGAAACTGAATTGAAACAGAGTTGAACTTAGCTGTATGTTTTGCAAATGATGATCGGCAATGTCATGCAGTATGCATTAGGGACAGAACAGTGGTATAAGGAGAGACATATGGGGACCCCTAAGAAAGAGGATTATGTTGACACCCCCAAACACACACACTTTTGCAGGTAGTTCAAGTATTGCTGATAAGCCCTCGTTCTGTGGCCCTACTTGGCCGCTCACCTTATCTTTCTGTTTAAAATGTGAAATTTGTATCTCAAAGAATTAAAAATGTTGGCCTAATTGTGACAGGATATGACCTATTTAAAGTCTAGTTTAACCTATTGTCATCCACCTGTGATATCATTATATATATAGAAATAGGCTTGGTAGTCTGTATATTCAGTAAATGAACCACAAACTGTAAATGAAGCACAATGTACCACTATTGAGGTATGAATGAATAAAAGAGTTGGGTTTAATGTCCATATAAAGACACTGTAACTAGATCAATTGGGTACAAGTACTTTATCAGTGGAATGAATGAATGAATGAATGAATGAATGAATGAATGAATGAAAGCCCCTCAATCAAATCCCATTGAAGATTATTAGTTTTAAGGCCAAATTGGCCCTACAATAATTAGCCTTATGAACCTCATAGCCTAAAGATTAAGGGCTGCATTTCTCTGCCTAAGAAAACACAGGATATCTTTGAAGAAGCCCAAAGAAAGTACTGGCATGTGGCCTGAATTTTTCTGACTGGTGTTTATAACACAATGGGTTCCACCCAACTCAAACCTTTTATCTTCTTAGCAATAAGTAAGTCATCCTAGCAGAATTCTGCTCCTTAATTAATATCTGAAACCTAACTTAAGAATACTGAAATAGCTTTTGCATTCAAAAGGGGATGGATTTTGACACTCAGTAAATTGAGTAAATATTGCTAGAAATGAGATCTGATTTTTAATCGTTGATAAGCGTTGTTGATGATAATATTTCATTAAGTTGCAACTCGTGACATACGATTTATAATTTTACACAATGTACTTATATAAATATATGAAATCAATATTGCCCTAGTAGATACTAGACCATACTGATTACTAATTACTTATATACACAGTATAGATATATACATACAGTGGTCCGAAACTTCTTGTCACAAATATAACCATTAAAACACTTCTTATAGACAGGCTACATCATGGCTACATCGTGGTTTAACTGCACTTAACTTTAAATGGTTGACATCAGAAATACAAATCAAAGGCAGTGGGGTTTCTACAAGGGCTAATGAGGCTGGCCTAGCATTGGCCCCACCCCAGGGCCGTGTTTCACCGCCATGTCATTTGATCCAACCAGATCTAACGAATTAACAACAACCAAGCCAACACAGAATCACCCAATCTGAACCAATCCAACTACCACCACTACCTAGTTTAAGATATCAGCATTCGCTGCAAGCGAACGTTAACTTGTCATCTGCAAACCAACTTGGCACCAACCCACTCTCAAAAACTCTGGTATTTCTGAACATAAATTCCAAACATACAATGATTTTTCCTATAAAGATTTTTTGAGAAACAGTTCCTGGTATTTATAGTCTCTTCCCCTGAAACAAGGTTTAGCTGCTACAGTGAAACACGGTAAGAGAATCAAGGTAAGAGCGGTATGTTTCGGACTATGCATACAGGTGTTACCCAATATCATTATAACATATTTAATTTAATCACACTTCAGTTACATACAATATATATATTGCTACTATTCTCTACTTTTACTTTCTTTCACTTATAATATACTTTAAATAACGCTCTGCTAGGCATATTGATTTGTACTTGTCTTTGAGAGATTAAATGGATAGTTGTTCTCATAACTTTTTATGTGTTTATGTGTATCAGGGACACTGATAGCATCATATTGCATCATTCCAATTTTCAGTCAGATGTCTGTGGTTCTTTCAACTAAAACCAAGTGATTTAAGGCATAGCTATCGCAAAGTGATATCATTTCACAGTAATTCTTATTTTGTCATTGTTTAGGGCAGTGGAAATCCATCAGTTGATATCGTATTGGATTGTCATCTGGCTAGGCTATAAGGTTTGAGGCCTCCAAACTTAAGTTATACAGTCATGGCCAGTACTTCAGAGACTTGGCTTGTATCAGGCTTTCATTCCCTACCACCAATTGAGAATCTGTCTGTCTGACTGTATATATAATAGATAAGATGTAATGTAAGATAAGACTATGTTTACTACAATGTAACTATGTTAATTAATGACTCCCATCATATATAAACATTGACATCTTGTTAACATCTGTTATTATATATCTTACTGGTTAAACAGGGTCCCTATTATTATCTCATAACCCCCTTTTACACTCAAATTATCTCAGACAGGAACTGGTGAATTGAGTGAGAACTGTTTCAATTCTAGCTAACCTCAAGGTGAGCTTTGAAGCAGCCTGGTGTATGAGTAACCTCTTATCACTTCAGAGGCACTGGGTAGAAATGTCCAGCTGGGCTATCCATCCCCAGGCTGAGATCTGCTAGATATGTCTACTTCATCAAGAAGGTGACAAAGTGAGATAATTTTATTTATATGAAATTAAGTGCTCCAGAAAATACAGCACATACTGTCTATAATAATTGAATTGGTAGTCATAAAACCAGTATTCAAGTTGCTGTGAGTATTCTATTAAAGAGAGTATATTTGGTTTATTTCCACTGAATTGACTCTATAAATAGTTCTAAGGAGGTACCAGTACACAATACTTTGGTTAAACTAAATCCAGAAATTGCCAGACCATAATAAATTTCCCCTTTGCTATGTGTTCTATAAGAAAGAGCAGATCCAGAATGATTTCTACTGAAGTGGCTCTTTAAATAGTTGTAGGCAGGTAGACAATATTCTGATAAATAAATCAGGTATCTACCTCGATATATATATTTATATATATACAGTAACACCAGTATATCAGTACTACTGCATGATCAGCAGAACGTCTTGGAATGTAAGATGTAAGGTAAAATCATCTTCACAATGTCAGGCTATTACGAACTTCATTTTATACCTTGACTGCAATAGCCACCTTGCTTGTATCACAGAAGTTAGAAAATGTAGCGATATGGTTGGATTGTACGTTGGCAAATACAGCCAATCAGAGCTCTCTACAGAAAGTCTGTAAACAATAAGTGATAATATTTACAGTCTTTCGGTCGAAGGCTATGATTGGCTATATCACTGGTGTACAATCCAATCGAATTTCTGTATTCTGTGGTTCAAGAAAGGTA